GAATTTGAAGTGACAGGTAAATGAAGCAAAGAAATAGTATTATACGATTGGTCAATAGTATTCCGGTAATTATCTTAACCAATCAAATCCTTATATAATATTCAGAGCGGAACAGTATATACCATGTATACATGCGCTATACATGGCGATAAAATACTGTCACAAGCGAGATCCTTGTGTATTTTTTAATGAATTACGTGCGAAGAGGGCATTTGATCAGTGAAGACTTCGCAGATCGATAGGAAAAGAGTTTGTTTATGGAACGTACGTGGAAATTCTAGCCGTTTTTTGTTTTTTTCGTAAAAATCGATCAGAAATCGTGTTTGTATACATAAATGGACTGGACGTCGAAAACGACATGGATTGAAAATATTGGCATTTTCTGAAACTTTTACTCATTTCTTTGCTATTTGAAGAATTTTAATGAAATAAAAAGCTTTAACGCTTGGATTGATCCTTTCAGATGGCGACCAGAAAGAGATAACCGTGATCTGGTCGTTTCCTGCAGCAGTGTTCTTGTTTGTTCCGCATGATGTTTTTGTTTCGTTGGGGGCCTTATATCTTTATATACGTATATAGACCGATTATGTAAAATATTTGATTATCATTATGTGACTAGCGCCTGTGCTACGGTCACTACCACAAGCACGAGTATCGGACCTGGGAAGAAAAAAATAAGACCAGATTGATAAAAAAAACCTGTGTTCATCTCAAAAGTATGGTGGCTGATTTGTGCCATTCGTGTTTTCGCCCCGCGACCCCGCCAAGCGAATAGTCGATAATTAACAAGTTAAATTGGCGGGGGCGGAGGAGGAGCGAAAACAAGCTAATAATTAGCGAGGTGGCTGGACGAAAAGTCTATATCGTTGGTAGCTCTATATCATTGGTAGCTCTGTAATGGTGGTAGCTTTATATCGTCGTTAGCTCTGTAATGATGGTAGCTCTATAATGTTGTTAGCTCCATATATTGGTGGTAGCTCTATAATATTGTTAGCTCCATATATTGGTAGCTCTATATATTGTTGTAAGCTCTATAATTTTGTTAGCTCCATATAATATTGTTAGCTCCATATATTGGTAGCTTTATATATTGGTTGTAGCTCTATATATTGTTGTAAGCTCTATAATTTTGTTAGCGCTATAATATTGTTAGCTCCATATATTGGTTGTAGCTCTATATATTGTTGTTAGCTCTATAATATTGTTAGCTCCATACATTGGTGGTAGCTTTATATCGTTGGTAGCTCCATATCTTGGTGGTAGCTCTATATTGGTGGTAGCTCCATATATTGGTGGTAGCTCTGTATAATGTTGGTAGCTCCATATATTGGTGGTAGCTCTATATTGGTGGTAGCTCCATATATTGGTGGTAGCTCTGTATAATGTTGGTAGCTCCATATATTGGTGGTAGCTCTATATCGTTGGTAGCTCCATATATTGGTGGTAGCTCTATAATGTTGTTGCAGGTAGCTCTATATCGTTGGTGACTTCATATATTGGTGGTAGCTCTATATCGTTGGTAGCTCCATATATTGGTGGTAGCTCTATATCGTTGGTAGCTCCATGGCATATATTGGTGGTAGCTCTATATTGGTGGTAGCTCCATATATTGGTGGTAGCTCTGTATAATGTTGGTAGCTCCATATATTGGTGGTAGCTCTATATTGGTGGTAGCTCCATATATTGGTGGTAGCTCTATAATGTTGATAGCTCCATATATTGGTGGTAGCTCTATAATAATGGTAGCTCCATATATTGGTGGTAGCTCTGTATAATGTTGGTAGCTCCATATATTGGTGGTAGCTCTATAATGATGGAAGCTCTATAATGTTGCAGGTAGCTTTATATCGTTGGTGACTTCATATATTGGTGCACGGATTTATATTACATAAATCCGTGATTGGTGGTAGCTCTATATCGTTGGTAGCTCCATATATTGGTGGTAGCTTTCTACAGGCATTCAAATAAAAATAATAATTAATATATACGGATTAAAATATACGAGTGACATTAAAAAGGCCGGCACGAGAGTACTTTACTGTTACGATAATTGTCTACTTCACTGCACCGACATTTGAAAACAGATTTACAAAAAAAAAAGAATAATGATATAAATGATGAATGAAATTTAAATATTCTATGAATATGGCAATATTGACAATCTCGGCAATATTTTGTACTAAAAAAAAATGAATAATTTTTCTTCACCTGTTGAGCGAATTGTAAAGGCCGCAATACATTACCCGTAAAACAATTGTGCGTTAATAAATTTGACTACATAACCCAATAAATCTTAAATATCGCATCTTTGATCATCTGTGAATAACTAACATCGGCTTCTTTTTTATTTTGAAATTGAAATTATTATGGTACCGTAATAATAAATTTCAAATACCTGCTTTTTATATAAAAAACGTAAATTTACCGCGGATTTCGTCAAGTTAATTTTTTAATCGTCGCTGCGGACAGATGAACTGTACCTTTAAAAAATAAATTAGATATTTGAATTAAACAAGTATTTTTCTTCAAAATAAACTTTAAATTTCCAAAATCGGATAATAAATGGAAAAGCTGTATGATATTTTGTAAAGTAGGTATCCGTTGCGAACGGGCATTTACGCTTAGCGCCGGTAAATTATCGATCTATGTACCTTTATCGGGTGCACGACAAGATATTTAAGCATTTATATAGGGTTAACTGGGAGTGTCCGATCCTTGTAATATAAATCCGTGATTGGTGGTAGCTCTATATCGTTGGTAGCTCCATATATTGGTGGTAGCTCTATAATGTTGCAGGTAGCTCTATATCGTTGGTAGCTCCATATATTGGTGGTAGCTCTATAATATTGGTAGCTCCATATATTGGTGGTAGCTCTATAATATTGGTAGCTCAATATATTGGTGGTAGCTCTATAATGATGGAAGCTCTATAATGTTGCAGGTAGCTCTATATCGTTGGTGACTTCATATATTGGTGGTAGCTCTATATCGTTGGTAGCTCCATATATTGGTGGTAGCTCTATAATGTTGCAGGAAGCTCTATATCGTTGGTAGTTCAATATATTGGTGGTAGCTCTATAATGTTGCAGGTAGCTCTATATCGTTGGTAGCTCCATATATTGGTGGTAGCTCTATAATGTTGGTAGCTCCATAAATTGGTGGTAGCTCTATAATATTGGTAGCTCCAAATATTGGTGGTAGCTCTATAATGTTGGTAGCTCCATAAATTGGTGGTAGCTCTATAATATTGGTAGCTCTATATCGTTGGTAGCTCCATATATTGGTGGTAGCTCTATAATGTTGGTAGCTCCATATATTGGTGGTAGCTCTATAATGTTGGTAGCTCCATATATTGGTGGTAGCTCTATAATGTTGGTAGCTCCATAAATTGGTGGTAGCTCTATAATATTGGTAGCTCCATATATTGGTGGTAGCTCTATAATGTTGCAGGTAGCTCAATATCGTTGGTAGCTCCATATATTGGTGGTAGCTCTATAATATTGGTAGCTCCATATATTGATGGTAGCTCTATATCGTTGGTAGCTCCATAAATTGGTGGTAGCTCTATATCGTTGGTAGCTCCATATATTGGTGGTAGCTCTATAATGTTGCAGGTAGCTCTATAATGTTGGTAGCTCCATAAATTGGTGGTAGCTCTATAATATTGGTAGCTCAATATATTGGTGGTAGCTCTATAATGTTGGTAGCTCCATATATTGGTGGTAGCTCTATAATATTGGTAGCTCCATATATTGGTGGTAGCTCTATAATGTTGGTAGCTCCATATATTGGTGGTAGCTCTATAATGTTGGTAGCTCCATATATTGGTGGTACATGTAGCTCTATAATGTTGGTAGCTCCATAAATTGGTGGTAGCTCTATAATGTTGGTAGCTCCATATATTGGTGGTAGCTCTATAATGTTGGTAGCTCCATATATTGGTGGTAGCTCTATAATGTTGGTAGCTCCATATATTATTGTTAGCTCTATAATATTGGTAGCTCTGTATAATGTTGGTAGCTCTAAATTATTTGTAGCTCTATATTGGTGGTAGCTCTACTATGTTGGTAGCTCTATAATATTGGTACCTCTATATATTGTTGGTAGCTCTATAATATTGGTAGCTCCATATATTGGTGGCAGCTCTATAATGTTGCAGGTAGCTCCATATATTGGTGGTAGCTCTATAATGTTGGTAGCTCCATAAATTGGTGGTAGCTCTATAATGTTGGTAGCTCAATATATTGGTGGTAGCTCTATAATATTGGTAGCTCCATATATTGGTGGTAACTCTATAATGTTGCAGGTAGCTCCATATATTGGTGGTAGTTCTATAATGTTGGTAGCTCCATAAATTGTTGGTAGCTCCATATATTGGTGGTAGCTCTATAATGTTGGTAGCTCCATATATTGGTAGCTCCATAAATTGTTGGTAGCTCCATATATTGGTGGTAGCTCTATATATTATTGGTAGCTCTGTATAATGTTGGTAGCTCTATAATATTGTTGGTAGCTCTATAATGTTGGTAGCTCTATATATTGTTGGTAGCTCTATTTTATTAATGGGGAAGTGGATTGCGAGTTGGTACACATATAAACTCTTTGTTGAAAGACAAAAATTAACCCCCCACTCTCTGTCCAAAGACAAAATTTATCCTCCCCCCCCCCCTACTTATTAGACTACTAATATATACCTTTGGTTATTGAAATCTCACAGCAATTAAATTGATGACCAGAAAAGAAGAAAAAAACAATAAAAAATATTTTTTATTTCTTTATCTTACATTATTTTTCATTGTATTAGCAAATTTTCTTTTAATTATAACGCATACACATAAAATAAAATATTTTAACAATTGTTTAATCAATCAATATATGTAATAAATCTGTTTACATGGTATTCTATAACAATTATATAAAAGTGTTATCTACATCAATATTTACAGTACTGCACATTAGTAACATGGATTGAAACAGAGTTTCAAAATGATGCCTTGGATATATATATTTATTACCCTTCCAGATTTTTTCCGCCTTTTTGATTGGATATTGATCACCCAAAAGAAATTGATATTACCGAGCCAGACGGGTAATATACACACTAAATAAACAACATGCGCTATGGCGATGCGCGCACAGTTTGATTTTACGCAATGTAAATTCCGATTTACAAGCACTTTTTAACTGTCAAATGATAAATATTTACCAAAATAGAGTAATGATACATATTCTCATCAGTATTGAAAACAAATATGACCTTGTGAAAGCTTGATATTAATTCCAAAAAAGTGCTTTCAACAGACTACTCCTTTTCTCTTGTTTCCATTCGTTAGGTTCGAAAGAATTACCTCATGTATTTATGTGACGTCATGTTGTGGTGAAAGGGTATCCTAAAGGGAATCTTATTTTGATGTTTCATTTGAAGTAGCAATGATTTGTTTTAAAATTGTCTTAACTCGGCTGGGGAAGGGTAATAAAATTATTATTTTGGTTTTAGAGTGATATATGTGGATATATTACCTGCCAAGATAAAATATCACCCGAGACAGCTCGGGTGATATAAAATCTTGACAGGTAATATATCCACATATATCACTCTAAAACCAAAATAACATTGATGCCTTGGAGATATATATATATATATACGAACAATGATTCCTAAAAACAAATTATTTCTACTAATATGCTATCACATTTATAAAGTCTATATTTAGGCTTAATTGTTTTGATTTAAACAAAAATATCACAGACTTTTAAATATCTTTGATCTACTTTTTTATTAATGATACAAAACTTTAGAAGAAAATTTTAGATCCTATCATTTACAATATAAAACAAAAATATAAATTCTGCCTTTAAGATAAAAACACAAATAATTTAAACTCACAATATGTTAACATTATCATCAACAATGTTCTGATAAAACCCTAATGTACATAAACATCAACACCACATAAACACACACCTGTTTAATATATTATATAAAGCATTTAATGTAAATTGTTCAGTTTTCAAACAAGTTAAAAGTATGCTAAAAATAGTCTTGAAGATCAATTTTTTTAAATTATTCACTAACAAAAATTTTACTGATATTAATTACAGGTTTAAGTAGTTTTTACATGTAACTGTAAACAGATATTCATATAATAAAAGCAATACAAGAATTATGTGCAGGAAACAATGTTCATATTTTTTTACAATTTATTGAAGTTTATTTATTTATTTAACTGACCTTTAGAATTAAAAACAGTATAATTATTTAGTAATATTCATGGTATGATTAAAGTGGTTTTCACAAGTTGTTCAATTCATGATTCAAAATAGTGACGGGAAAACAGATAAATATATTTTTAAAATGTTATCTATAAGACATACCATATATATTTAAAGTAGTACATGCATATTGAAGAAGTCACTGTATCAATTTTTTTTAACTTAATTCATTATATATGTCCATTGCAACAATATCACATTATGTTATAACTGTAATTGTTGTTTATTCTATAATTTGGCTGTTGGTACATCAAATGTAAGTTCACCTTTCATCAATGGCCTCAATGTTGTGTAATATGAATCCTGCACCTGTAAAATAGAAAGAGTTTCTAATCTATGTATGTATCATTTTAGTTCAATATTTTATTTCAATATATATATATATATACTCTTGTTATTGTCCAGAAACTGTTTTTCTATTTCAAATAATGGTTACCTTGACCACAATGGGGTCTAAAAGCAATACCAACCAGGGTTTTCATATAAGGTTGCCAGATACCAAGTTTGACTACAATAACTCTTTCCAAACTGTAGTTATCATCTGGAAACCATGAGGTGGACTGACCTACGGATCAACAAGCTGACTCCTATATACCCCTTTAAACTTTGTTTGTTGAAGTATAATTAAGGATTTATTAGATGCATTAGGAACATTTATCAAGTTTATATATTATTTATTATATACATTATTATGATAAATTTGTTTTTCCTATAAGAATTTGATACCACAGCAGTGGCCAGTGCTTGAATGTCAATTTATCAATGAAACACCCAACTTAAACTAAAGGTCATACCCTTAATACCATAGTACATTCACACTTTAATATAACATTATGTAATAAAGTATTTTATCTAACAAGCAATTATCATAGTATTGCAAGCAATCCATGAGTCCCCTACCGGTATGAACCCCAGCTACATTCTGAAGGGCCATTGACCATTCACTTATGTCTCTATTTTAAGTAAATTTGTTGAAAAAGATCACAGGAAACAGTTTTTATGTACAGACAGATGGACGGACTGAAGGACACTCTAAAGCTATTTTTTAAACATCTCTGTTATCAAAATATAACATTTTTAAAAACAAAATTCTTAAAAAGGAGATAACTCTTGAAATAAAGATGCAAGACATCATACATGATGTGAGTGTAACAAAGAACAATTAGTAATGAAGGTGTTGATAATGAATGTTTATTTTGAATTTGAAGTAAAATAAAGTTAAAAAAAACAATATTTTTTTCATGAAAATTCTAGGTTCAAGGGAGGAAAACCTGATAAATTTTGTGCTAGAGTTGTAAACCTTGTCCCATATGATGTGGTTGATGACAAGAAAATCAAATTTCTATTTAAAGTTTGAAGAAAATACCTTAAGAAATAAAGACCTTATAGTGAAAAAACGTAAAAACTAGAATCAGAAATCTTGAAATTTAGTCTATTTGTTGCCATAGCAACCAGAATTTTCAACATAAGAAGAAAATAAAAGACGGGTAAACCGGTAGGGGACTAATTAAGCTGTATACGCAGTCCCAATGATATCCTTTCCAAGACCGACCCTCTTTTTCGGACTGACACCCGTAACATTTTAAAAAGGCACATTATTTCAAACCCTAAAAGCGGGGTCTGAATTAATGAAGGAAACCCGAAACCACAGGCGCTAGTCACATAATCAAATATTTTACATAATCGGTCTATATATAATCTTTATATACATATATAGACCGATTATGTAAAATATTTGATTATCATTATGTGACTAGCGCCTGTGCCCGAAACGTAATAAAACGTGTGTTTTTTCAACAGTCTTAAAAACTGTAACGGAAATCAGCGTAAAAGATTTAAGTAAAGACTTATTAAGCGTAATTTCTGATAAATCTTACACATAAATACGGTTCAGACTTTTTTGCGAACGAGGAATATACCGTATTTGAACGATATTGTTGTCCATCGTTAATATTGAAAACACCGTCATTTTACCTTATGGGGATAGGTGTTTGTTTGCTGTGAAATAAAAATCTCAGATATTTATAAATGCCCAAATACGTTTTAGTATGTTACGGGTCAATATGCGGTATAGGTAAATACGATATCCACTACTTGTCAAACCGTAAATAAGAAGTTACCGTTAAATGACTGAAACGTAGAATTCCGTAAAAATGATGAATCTTTCTCGCAATAATTAATCATCTTGTCTTTAGAAAAATGTCATAAATAAGGTTTTGACAATTAAGACAAACATATCTTCTATAAGGTAGAAACATGTTTTAGAAGCCTTATTATTAGTTAAATGGAAAAACACATGGTTTAAATAAGTTAGTATTTGTAGCTTACTTTACCTACAATTGATTTGAACTAAATTACAAATTTTATTATCCAATAATATGATTAATAAACGATCAGTGACACTCTTAAACCGATTTTTATAAAAATGACATAGTACTTTTAAAAAAACTTGTTTCTTAAAACATTTATTTTTTTTACAATCTTTTGCAAAATGCTTTCAAAGTAGCTTATGCAAAATAATGTGATGAAAATATTGCCAGGTTTCCTACGACAAATCAACACCTGCTTTTGAGAATAGAAAATTTTGACACGTCTAATTACGTTTTGGGTGTTCTTTCGAAAAATAGGGTCGGCTTTTCGAGAAACGAAAATAGATACATTTAAATACATTACTGTCGCGGAAAGGATATCATCGTTTTTACACAAAATAGAAATATGTTATAATCCAATATTCTGGCATATTGACTGTTAATATAGCTTGAATTTTATAGTAAGTTGGCTGTTGGAAGATATTCATAACTTAATTCAAAGATTTTGACACATCTATTCCTCCATACTTGTATTTTTTGGGATTTCTAGATACCATAGTAACCTCCTCTGAAATCACCCAAATTGGCAGACATTAATGGAAATAGTTTCAACAAGAATGCATTTGTGAAAAAATGCTATGCCACTGCATTAATATAACAGAAGTTGATTATTTTTGTTACTATACGATTGAACTTTGACTTGGTATTTGAAATAATTTTTGTCCAATATAGGATTGCAGTATTTCAAATGAATCGTAACACATTTACTTCGGTAAATCGGCAAACTATTAATCAGTCTAGTAAGTCGACTGTTTATAAAAAAATAATTTAAAACACTAAGCCAGTTAAAATTTTAGTAAAATAATTTAAAACACTAAGTCGGTTAAAATTTATTAGTACGCATTTACAAAATTTAATTGGTGGCAATTTAATTTTGTAAATACGTTCTGATAAACTTTAACATATACATAATGCAGTAGTGTCTAGTGAATTTGGGGGGGAGGGGGGGGGGGTCAAGGTCATATTTCAGCATGTCCAATCTTTAGACTCATGTGCATATGTGTCTAATGTTAAGATACAAAGGCCATAGTTCAATAATTGATTCAAAAATAGAAGAATTTTTTATTGACAAAAAATAGGTATTAACTGAATAACATAGCTGTATTAAACTTAAAATGCAGGTAGAGTAACTCTTTTTTTTTAAAATACCATCTTTTTAATTAAGCATTATCAATTTCTAAAAACATAATCATTATTGTATACATGGTGTGAATGATAATTTCCTTATAATGTGCTCAAATTGTTTCATTTAATATCTCTACAAAGCTCATCACTGTCTTGCTAGAGTTCATAACTATTGAATATTTTACATAAATATGCATAACATGTATAATGAAAATCTATGACCCAAGGGCAGGGCAAATTTAGACCCCAGGGCTATAATTTGAACAATCTTTGTAGAAGTCCACTACACAATGTTTGATACCAAATTTCTAACCTCTAGCCTTTGTAAATTCCTAGAAATATTTTTCGTAAGATTTATGTTATACACATAAGGAAACCTATAACCACTTGGGGCTGGGCCAATTTTGACACTAGGGGCAAAATTTGAACAACTTTGGTAGATGACCTATAGATGATATTATATACCAAATATCAAAGCTCTAAGGACAAGATGATTTTTCAAGTTTTTATGTACATAATGAAATCAATGACCCCCCCTCCCCCAAGGGCAGGGCCAATTTTGACTAAAGGGCTGTAATTTGAACAATCTTGGTAGAGGTCCACTACATAATGTTTCATCCCAAATATCTATTCTCTAGCCTTTGTCAATTCAGAGAAGAAGATTTTTTAAGAATAAATGGAAAACCTATGACCCCCCCCCCCCCCCCCCCATGGCGGGGCTAATTTTAACACTAGCTGCTAAATTTGAACAACTTTTGTAGAGGAACGGAAGACAAAAAGATTTTTGAAGTTTTTATGTACATAATAAAATCAAAGACTCCTCCAGATGCTGCGATGGTATAAAAATGAAATTTTGATTGGATCTTTTTAAATAAATCTTTAACAAACAGTTTTGAAAAAAGTTCACTTATTAAGTAGAAGAAAAATCACATATGTATGGTTTTAATATTTAAATATTTTCTGATTAACATTAAGTACCATGATATCATAGACACCCAGGCTAATAACTTACATCCTGTTTATTTAGAGGTGACATTTTGGCATACTCATAGAGAGCCTCATAAACATTCCCATCATAACGTCCAATACAACTTTGCAGGATTTCATCAGGATAGTCAAATGCATCAACCAGGGCTACAGCATCAGGTCTGATCTCAGCAAACAGGGTCAGGGTCTTGTTTTGTATCAAACCTGCTTGTTGGCCATTCAGAAAACCATCCTGGTAAAATAAGAAAGAAAATACATAATAAATTATTAAGCCATTAGTTCAGATAGAACATAAGATATTTCCAACTTGCCAGTTTAGGTTAACCATTATTCATTTTCTAAGTGCTGAAAAGGGCCATAACTTGTGAAAATGGAAGCCATAGTTATGTAACTTGCCCAGATCATATACTTTGTATGGATTAGTAAGTGTGTAAATAATGAAGCCATTGGTACAGGTAGAACTTAAGAAAAATCCAACTTGCCGTTCTAGGTTAACTTGTACAGACAGACGGTTCAATTACTATATGCCCGGGGGCATAAAAATAAACAAATAAACATAGAGATAACATGTAGAGGTTACACTACAATATGTATACCTGTACAAACTCTCCAACATAGAGACAATGTGTATAGGTTACACTACAATATGTGTACCTGTACAAACTCTCCAACATAGAGACAACCTGCAGAGGTTACACTACAATATGTATACCTGTACAAACTCTCCAACATAGAGACAACCTGTAGAGGTTACACTACAATATGTATATCTGTACAAACTCTCCAACATAGAGACAACCTGTAGAGGTTACACTACAATATGTATACCTGTACAAACTCTCCAACATAGAGACAACCTGTAGAGGTTATACTACAATATGTTTATCTGTACAAACTCTCCAACATAGAGACAACCTGTGTATAGGTTACACTACAATATGTGTATCTGTACAAACTCTCCAACATAGAGACAATGTGTATAGGTTACACTACAATATGTATACTGTATAAAACTCTCCAACATAGAGACAACCTGTAGAGGTTACATACAATATGTATACCTGTACAAACTCTCCAACATAGAGACAACCTGTAGAGGTTACACTACAATATGTATACCTGTACAAACTCTCCAACATAGAGACAACCTGTAGAGGTTACACTACAATATGTATACCTGTACAAACTCTCCAACATAGAGACAACCTGTAGAGGTTACACTACAATATGTATACCTGTATAAACTCTCCAACATAGAGACAACCTGCAGAGGTTACACTACAATATGTATACCTGTACAAACTCTCCAACATAGAGACAACCTGTAGAGGTTATACTACAATATGTATACCTGTACAAACTCTCCAACATAGAGACAACCTGTAGAGGTTACACTACAATATGTATACCTGTATAAACTCTCCAACATAGAGACAACCTGTAGAGGTTATACTACAATATGTATACCTGTACAAACTCTCCAACATAGAGACAATGTGTAGAGGTTACACTACAATATGTATACCTGTACAAACTCTCCAACATAGAGACAACCTGTAGAGGTTATACTACAATATGTATACCTGTACAAACTCTCCAACATAGAGACAACCTGTAGAGGTTACACTACAATATGTATACCTGTATAAACTCTCCAACATAGAGACAACCTGTAGAGGTTATACTACAATATGTGTACCTGTACAAACTCTCCAACATAGAGACAATGTGTATAGGTTACACTACAATATGTATATCTGTACAAACTCTCCAACATAGAGACAACCTGTAGAGGTTATACTACAATATGTGTACCTGTACAAACTCTCCTAGCCTCCATAGAGACAACGTGTAGAGGTTACACTACAATATGTATATCTGTACAAACTCTCCTAGCCTCCATAGAGACAACGTGTAGAGGTTACACTACAATATGTATATCTGTACAAACTCTCCTAGCCTCCATAGAGACAACGTGTAGAGGTTACACTACAATATGTATACCTGTACAAACTCTCCTAGCCTCTGATTGATACCATACACAGCATATAACTTGCATAATGTCTGTAGAGCTCTAGATACAGCAGGGTCCATTCCTCGTCTGTTGACAACACTATTAAACATCTTCACAACAAACGCTTGACAATGAGCCTAGATACAAGACAAAACATATTCATATGAAAACACATTATTTTCATGTAAGTCTTTATTATTTCATTGCAATTTTCTATTTATATTCTTATTTATTTGAAAATTTAATAGAGTGTTGTATTTGTTTTGTAATTTAGAAATAATAAATCTCACCTTGGCAGCATACACCATGGGGACAGCAGATTTATTTCTTGCTTCCTCCATACTCATGCCACTCTTCATCAATATCTGCATTCTTGTTGCTGCAACCTTGATTAACCTGATCATAAACATAACATAATATTTTATACTCTTATAAAATTTGCAAATGTCCAGTATATCATTTATGTCCAAACCTAAAATATATAAAATACAGACTAATTTACCCAAGCCATTTTTGTCTTTATCAATCACTTAAAGATCCTGTATGTTGTAATTGAGGTTGTATACCACACTTAAGTGAAATTATATATATGTATATAATTATGCTTATAAAACAATTTTCAAACATCAAAGAATATGTAAAATATGTACTGCAAATATTTGTACATATTATATGTAATCATTAAAATATATGCATTCATTTCTTATTGAAAAATTTGACTTAGACTTTATAGAAAATAAATTTTTTATTACCTCCCTTTATTTACATGAAATGTTAAATTCGGTAATATCTTTATAAATAATGCCTTTTGGAACTTACAAAATTGATAAATCTTAATTTGAGCATCATATTTATGATATAAATCCATAACAAATTTGTGTTACAGGATCTTTAAAATCCCTGCCCCTTCATTTTCTCCTCTTACCTGAATATTGTCACAGAACATAACAAATTTAATATTGATAATTTTGGAAAAATATCAAACATGTACGTAACGGATCAAAACAGTTTTGCCAATAAATATCAGAAAGTCACGTTTTATTCTAGACACTTTACACAGTACTGGAGATGTTATGAATGTATATAAATAAAGTGAACAACTTCCCACATCTCAAAGAAAAGATATAATAATTATTAATAAATTTTGACTTATTTTTTGATGATGCTTTGTCTAAAGAAACTGTTTGTACTAAGTGATCATTTTATGTGTTTCCCTCGAGTCTCTTAATGTACAAAAAATTATTTCTAACCTGGCTGCCGTGTGTTCATATGCCTCAATCAAATCAACCATGTTGAGGGAATCATTGAGGGAACTTCTCTGTTTCACTGGATTGTTGAGGTAAGACATAAATCCTACAAGTGTATGTCCACTGGCAGCCTGGGCATACTGTTTTACTAAATATCTGTAATCAAACAAAGCCATAAAAAGTCTTATGGAAAGAGACTACAACAATATCTGTTGAATAACCGACAACTAGAACTGCAACAGGACTAGCAAGGATAGTCATGCTCCCCACTTTGTCAATAGGGTATTCATTTTGATTTACATCCAGTTCATTTAAGCTGTCTAATAATACAGGAACATGTGGGGGTAAGAGTGAGGTTTGATGCATTAGTAACCAGTTTATACTACTCTGTAGTACTATTGCTCTGCTTATTATTCCAATATGGTGCCTTCTACGGATGTTTGTCTTTTTAATTGTTGTGACACTTGTTTATCTGTGTGTTCCAGTTTGTTATTTATCAGTAGGTATCTCCTCTTCCCTAATTTTACATTTTCTACCCGCCCCCTGACAATACAATAGTAGAGATCAAAAAGGAAATGGGGCATTAAATGAACACAGCCCCAATGTTATCTGGCACCACAATACTTCCAGCACAGATTTAACAAGCAGGGCACCAAACAAAACAAGAGGGCCATGATGGCCCTGAAGTCGCTCACCTGTATATAGGCCCCCAGAGCGGAGCCAGTTTAAACCCCAGGGCTTTTATTTGAACAAACTTGGTAAACACCCATTAGAAGATGTTTCATGCTAAACATCCAAGGTCTAGCTCGTTGGGTTTTTTGAAAGAAGATTTCTTAGTTTTTTTCTTTACACATATAGTTAAAAACAATGACACCCCTGGGGCAGGGCCAGTTTTGACCCCAGGGCATTTTATTTGAACAATCTTTGTAGACACTTACTTGAAAATGTTTCATGCTTAATATCTAAACTCAAGCTATACGGGTTTTTTCAAAGAAGATTTTTAAGTTTTTGCTATATACATATAAGGAAAATGAATGACCTCAGGGGCAAGGTCAATTTTGACCCCAGGGCTTTTATTTGAACAAACTTTGTAGACACTCACTAGAAAATGCTTCATGCTTAATATCTAAACTCTAGCTATTTGTTTTCTTTCAAAGAAGATTTTTTAAGTTTTTGCTATTCATATATAAGGAAAATCAATGACCCCCAGGGCGTGCCAATTTTGACCCCAGGGCTCTTATTTGAACAAACTTGGTAGACATCCATTAGAACATGTTTCATGCTAAATATCTTAGCTCTAGCTCTTTGGGTTCTTTAAAAGAAGATTTTTTAAGTTTTTACTACATGCATATAGGGAAAATCAATGACCCCCTGGGGCGGGGCCAATTTTGACCCTAGGGTTTTTATTTGAACAAACTTGATAGACACTCACTGGAAGATGTTTCAAGCCAAATATTTAAGCTGTAGCTCTTTGGGTTTTTTAAAAGAAGATATTTTAAGTTTTTTCTTTTGGATGCAACCAGAGTTCTGCATGGAATTAAATTCTTGAACAATTTTCAAAGGTGACCACCAAAGGAACATTCCTGTGAAGTTTGGATGAAATTGGCCTAATGGTTTATGAGGAGATGTCATTTTCAGTAAAAGTTTACGGACAACGGACAAAAAGCTATCACAAAAGCTCACCCTGTCACTTTGTGACAGGTGAGCTAAATAGGATAGGGCAGCATTATTGTTCACAATTTAGGAAATCACAGGAAAATCAATAAATACATAAAAGAAGGTAATTAATTAATTAGGCTGAGACAGGGACAAGGGTGTGAGGGAAAGGGACCACAGGCTGAGAAGAGACAAATGACCATAGACACACAGTCTTGTTGATTGTCATGAAGAAGTTTTGTCTTGCCTATGGATCAAACCAGTGAATCCTAGATAACAAATCAAATGCTGTCCCTATTGAGCTTAGCAGGCCAATGATAGTTCTATTTATTCGCAGCTACTTTAGTATAATACAACTGTTATGACACCTTTACTATTCTACTCTGAACAATTTGTCAAATTAAAATGTGATGTTTAGAATTATAGCTAAATTAACCTTGCACACTGTAAATACATGACAGTATTTTCCCCTTCATATGTACAGGCTGGTGTAATATTGGCCCAGATTTTAGGGATCCCACTGGCATGTGAGTAACCATGGCCACCACAAGCCATACGTAGTTTGTCTATACCATTACTGGTTGTTTCTGAAGAAAAAGCTTTTAAACCAGCTGCCAGTGCATGAAGCTGTAATAAAAAAGATCAAACATAAATACACAAACATCAAAAGAGTTAAAGAAACACAAAGCAATGCTACAACATATATACACTAAAATGCAACAGTCCAAAAATGTTAGCTCTAGGAATCATAGTATCACACAAGAAGACTAAAATGTGCTTTCTTATGTATTTAAACCACGTCTGACCCAAGGGGAATGACTTATAATTCTAATTTTAGTAGAAACTACAAAGTAATAATACATGCCAACAAGAGCCACTGGCAGGCGGGGCAACACTCAACATTTTTTACTTTTTCTATAAGCAAACAAGTGGTTTAAAAAATCTTTAAAAAGAAAACAAAAAATATATCCTTTTTTAAAATTATAATAGGCCTGTCTAGTCACATTTGTTGTTTTAGTCCAAATATGAATTATTTTGATGAAGAAAAAAAGGTTTAAGAAAATATAGGCAAATTCTATCATTTGACGGTCAAGGTCATTTAAAAGTCAAGATCATGTATAAATCATTCAACAAGTCTGTTTGGTCCCAAGTGTTGTTTTGCACATGTATGAATCAAATCCGTACATAAATAAAAATTATGACAACTGAACCAAAATTTAATAAGTTAACCACGGAAGTCAAGGTCAAAGTCAGTTCAACCTTTTCGAAGGTCTTGTCCAAAAGATTCTCTCTTAGTATGAAGACAAGAGGGCCATGATGGCCCTGAGTTGCTCACCAGAAACAACTGCTTTTCAGTGTTGGAAATTATCCATTGTCAATATTTTCTAATAGTAAATTTGAGCATAGAATATCTTTTAACAATACTTTGAAGAAATGCCATGACCTGGAGCATTTAAGCTTTAGCTTAAACGGGGCCAATCAAATTAATATGAGCAAACTTGATAAAAGACTACCTAAGATTAGTAGGAATGCTACAGACAAAGTTTGGTGATCATCCATCAATTATTTCAGTAGTAGATGATGTTCAAAGGTTCTTTAGTGGCCCCTAAAAGGGGCCAATCAAATTAATATGAGCAAACTTGATAAAAGACTACCTAAGAATGCTACCAACAAAATTTGGTGATTATCAATCCATTAGTTCTGTAGAAGGAGACATTTAGAGGTATTTCTATTTTTAGCTTAAGCAGCCCCTGAAAGGTGCCAATCAAATCAATATGAGCAAACTTGATGAAAGACTACCTAAGAACATTGAACATTGTGGGTTAAATGGAACTTAAGTTATGCTCCAGAAAATGTTTTCAGTTTTAAGGTAATAGTGACCTTGACCTTTGACCTTTTGACCCCAAAATCAATAGGGGTCTTTTACCCAATATGGACAATCATCCTATGAAGTTTGAACATTGTGGGCCAAATGGAACTTACGTTATGCTCCGGAAACCAAATTGCTAACGGACAAATTGCTAACGGACGGAAACTGTTTTCAGTATCAAGGTAATAGTGACCTTGACCTTTGACCTTTTGACCCCAAAATCAATAGGGGTCTTCTACCCAATATGGACAATCATCCTATGAAGTTTGAACATTGTGGGTTAAACGGAACTAAAGTTATGCTCCGGAACCAAATTGCTAACAGACGGACGGACGCCAGGGGGTATAACATAATATGCCGTTTCGGGCATATAAAAAATGACATAGGTCATGGTCATTTATGTGTGAAGGTCTTTCATCTGTCCGGTTAGGAATGAAGGTCAAGGTAAGTCTAGTGTCCTTGAAGGTCTTGTCCCAAGGGTTGTCGTGACCAAGTATGAAGACAGCACACAAAGAAATAAACAAGAGGGCCATCATGGCCCTTATATCGCTCTTAAATTATATTACGGCTCTGAATTATTTTTGTTTACAATGAATGTAAAGCAGATAATATGATATCAGTTTATGTTTATGACATTATATTACAATGTCATAGACATAAACTGACAACATAACATTCATATCTGCACATGAAATAGTGCAAATGTTAATAAGATTTTTCCATATATGCCTTTTTATGTGCTGTCACCTAGTATTTAACCCCAGATAAGCAATATTCAAACTTGAGCTAGAAATCATCTAAACAACCTTTCTGACCAATTTCCAGAATATCTGAACTGAAATGGTAGCCCCTAGAGTGTTAAAAAAGGTTTTACCGTATGTAGGTTGTGTGACCTAGTTTTTGACCCAGGTGACCATGACCCATATTAAAACTTTGACCAAAACAGGAGCAACTAGAGTGTTAACAAGATTTTTCTATTTCTGACTCCTGTTACTTAAATTTTCATCTAAGATAACCAATTTTCAAACTCGTCCTAGCAATTACTTGGACAAACATCCGTAAAAGGTCAAGGTTATTTCACAGTAAAGGTCAAGTTCAGTCTGGCCAACTTGAAGTACATGTCCAAAGGGTTATTGTATCCTCCAAGTATGAAGGGAATCCATTGAGAACTTAAAAAAAATGACTAATGTTAAAGTTTATGGGGTAATGCATTGAGAATTATAGAAAATTATGACAAATGTTAAAGTTTCCGGCAGTGTCACCATGACTGTAGCAATAGCTCTTGTTTTCTTTAAAAAGGTTGAGCTAAAAAATTCATAAATAAAATAAGCACTAACAACTTGCATCTCATCAAAGCGCCCTTTCTCCATGTCTGCATTAATTCTGTTATACTCCTGTACCATCATATTTCCAGTAAACAAGAAGGCATACGCTGCTGCTAACAAGGGAAAAATCTTCTCTTGTTGTGTCTGGTAGTCTATCACCTGTGGTTCCTCACCACTAAATTAAACAAAGTTTCAATGTAGGAAAACATCAATATGTCATTAGTTCTTATAAAATTTCAACACTAATTAACCAAGGCACAAACTTTATCATAAAATGGGTATAACTAACAAAAATCCTGAATTACTTTAAAAAAATTGATTTTGTTTCAACATATTTGGTCATATGGGGATATTTTGGAGGCTGGTCTTCCCAACCAGCTTTCCAGAATTATTGACCAATATTTACAAATTTCTCAGCATGTGTCTGACTTCTTATCCAGCATACCTTCTAAGTCAACAAGAATTTTTGACAAAAAAACCAACTTCCCCCGCATAAGGAAAGTTTTACATGAAGCACAAAATTGAGTAGCTCTTGCTCTAAGAGTTATTTAAAAGAAGATTTTTTAAGTTTTTACTATAGATATATATGGAAAATCAGTACCCCAAGGGCGGTGTCAATTTTGATTCTAGGGCTTTTATTTGAACAAACTTGGTAAACACTCACCAGAGGATGTTTCCTGCTTAATATCTAAGCCTTAACTCTTTGGGTTTTTTAAAAAAAAGATTTTTTAAGTTTTTACTATATACATATAAGGAAAATCAATGACCCCCGGGATGGGGCTAATTTTGACCCCAGGGCTTTTATTTGAACAAACTTGATAGACACTCATAAGACAATGTTTCATGCCAAATATTTAAGCTCTAGCTGTTTTGTTTTTTTAAAAGAAGATTTTTTAAGTTTTTACTATATACATATAAGGAAAAGCAATGACCCCTTGGGGCGGGGCCAATTTTGACCCCAGGGCTTTTATTTGAACAAACTTGATAGACACTCACTAGAAGATGTTTCATGCCAAATATTTTAGCTCTAGCTCTTTGGGTTTTTTAAAAGAAGATATTTTAAGTTTTTTCTTTTGGATGCAACCAGAGTTCTGCATGGAATTAAATTCTTTGAACAATTTTTAAAGTTGACTACCAAAGGAACACTCCTGTGAAGTTTGGATTAAATTGGCTCAGTGGTTTATGAGGAGATGCCATTTAAAGTAAAAGTTTACGGATGGACGCGATCACAAAAGCTCACCATGTCAGTTTGTGACACTGGTGAGCTAAAAATACATTGTTGAGTATAATTAAAATACAGCAATGTCATATCTTGTTATAAATATTAAGGTAAGGTTTAGAATCAATTTAAAACTTTCTCAATACGTAATACAAACCTTAGTTACCAGTTTTTATATTTTCTAAACAGTTTTTAAATACAAACTGACCGTATCCATTTTAACAGATAAACAGATACTCCTAGAAGAAACCTCACCAGGTAACATCAATAATGTAGTAAATTTGTCTATAACATTTGTCAACAGTCTAATACAGTACAAACTCTGCAGGAAAAATTCATTTTGGAAGACATTTTAGATATTGCACAGGCAGATAAATTTTAGAGAATTTTTATAATATTTTTGTGAAATATTTTTTGCTCTACAGACTGTCTCTGAGCAGAGTTTACACTGTATATGGTTGCTACAAGTTTGTTTGTGTCAACTTTAACACATTTGTTGGTCAAATTCTGGTGTCACCTAACTAACTGTCCTGGATAACTAACCAGTAATAACTTATTTGTCTTCAGGTGATTCACTTACTACATGACAAATGACCTACCTTTGGATGGGAACAAGATAATAATGAACGACATTACCCTGGTCTAATTTCTGTCTGTCTCCTGACAGCACTGTACCTGGTAACTATAGCAACCACATAAGATAGAGCTGTAGCAGCCTTGCCTACTATTGTAGAACGTATATACACCATCAGGTACCGTAAGTAACTTTAGGACTGTATGTTCTTACATATGATCCATCTTTCTCTACCTAACAATTTTCAATATTTTCTTGATTCTTATCACTTTCAAATTGTTTGAAAAAAAATTGCCTTATGTATAAATCAAGTGATTTTACCCTGACTGACAGCAGATAATAGTCACAGAATTAATACCTGTATCTTATAAATATATCTGTAAGTTAACAATCTCGAGTGAAAAAATACCATCCAAAACCTTGGAAATACTACTACCATCATCATTTTATCAAGTAAAACTAAATTCCAGATCTGTTTCAAGTGAAAACAAAAAAAAGAGGAAATTTCATACCCCACCACAAATAGTAGATTAATTACACACAATGAAATAAAGAATATTATACCAGAAAAACAAATTCCAACAAAGAACACTTAAGGTTATCCAAAATTGTTGACTTTTGCTATGTTATGGGACCTTTGCTATGTTATAGAATGACAACAATTTTTATTTTATTAGAAACATGAACTGTATATACAGTTGACTCTCAATAAGTCAAAATCGCTTTACTCAAAATTCCGCCTTAGTCGAATAATTTCTAAAGTCCCGTCAAATTTCCTTCTTTATCTTTGTATTTTAACTCCGCTTAGGTCAATTCGACTTACCGAGACTCCTGTTTAGTCAAAAAGAAAATTTGGTCCCGTCAATTAAAGTCCAACATATTTTCATCTTAATTAATCGAATTGTGAAAACAGCAAACTGATCAAAGGTCGGCGACATCAAGGTGAGATGTTGTCACTCGTGATTTACACGTTTCATAGTAATTTTTAATTGCCGGTCATCATGTATTATTAACACGTCGTAAAAGTGGCTTTAATCCGTTTCAGGACTTAATTGGTTTTAACAGTTAGATAACTAAAATGTACATTTCTTTAAGACAGTTGACTCGTGCCAGTCTGACGGGTGTTGGTCAAATAATAGCCTAGGTATTGATGTGTGTTATCAACGTAAATGACATTTGTATAATTAATGTTCCATCATATTACATACATTAATATGTACTTCCGGTTCACGATAGTTGCTAATTTTTTTTTTTCGTCCGATGATCAATTAAATCAAATATAATTGTGTGTTTATGTTTCACTATTAATATACATGTATTAAATTTTGAATGATATATTTTTGTTCATTTATAATTTGTAGTTGTAAGTGATTTATCGTCATTTCAATGGTTAAATATTGCAGCATTGCCACTAACAACAATAACAGACCTACTTCTGTGCACATTCAATCAGGCACATGTATATGCATGTACGAATGTCAACGTAATAGTGGTAGTTCCATGTTACTCGAATTCCGTTTCTCTCGAAGTAAAATGCCCAGTCCCTTGGATTCGAGTTACCGAGAGTCAACTGTATTTTAAAATGTTAATAAGAACTTTTTGAAACGACATGTAGTAAAACATGCATAAGCATCTAGCAAAACATTAAGATAACAAAGTAAGTAGCCACAATTCTTTTAAATTGTTGAACAAATAACATAGAAATCCCACTAAACATTTTACATTTGTTACATGACATCAGGTTAGCAACATTAAAAAACTTTTGGATGTCTTATCTGTTTATTTAAAAACACATTGATACAAAGTTACAAACAGAGGCTGCTATTAGGGGTCTCCTACATGCAAGCCATGGGTTTTATAAATCAAGGCTTATTATTTCTCAAATTAAGACAAGAAAATTAGTATTATTACACAGAATCACTGTCTCCTTGACCTTTTACCAAATGACCTCAAAATCAATGGCTAGCATCTAATGGTCATGAGCCAATTTAAGTTTGCATTATTCCCTCTCAAGTGACTGATAGGACAAAGATTTTACAAATAGTGGCACTATAACAATCATAGTATGCTCCCACCTTTTTAAATGCTGGTATAAAAAGCAATTGTGACAATGTATTGACAAATCAGTGAAGTTATAACTGGAACAAAAGAAATGCATGTTGTAAGTATATATGAAACATATACTTACAGTATGTGGTTTCTGAGAAAGATGGAACATAAAAACTACAGTAATATAAACAACACACCTTGTCATAGGTTGATGGCATACCTGTACTCATGTTTTATCTCCCCCAAAGAAAATCATCTTAATATTGTCTATGTGCTTGTCTATCTATAACTTACCAAAGAAAATCATCTTAATATTGTCTATGTGCTTGTCTATCTATAACTTACCAAAGAAAATCATCTTAATATTGTCTATGTGCTTGTCTATCTATAACTTACCAAAGAAAATCATCTTAATATTGTCTATGTGCTTGTCTATCTATAACTTACCAAAGAAAATCATCTTAATATTGTCTATGTGCTTGTCTATCTATAACTTACCAAAGAAAATCATCTTAATATTGTCTATGTGCTTGTCTATCTATAACTTACCAAAGAAAATCATCTTAATATTGTCTATGTGCTTGTCTATCTATAACTTACCAAAGAAAATCATCTTAATATTGTCTATGTGCTTGTCTATCTATAACTTACCAAAGAAAATCATCTTAATATTGTCTATGTGCTTGTCTATCTATAACTTACCAAAGAAAATCATCTTAATATTGTCTATGTGCTTGTCTATCTATAACTTACCAAAGAAAATCATCTTAATATTGTCTATGTGCTAATGTCTATCTATAACTTACCATTTTCTTATAAAAAAGAAAGACTAGAAATGTCTCCATAGGGCACTAATCTCATTGGCTGTCACAGTTAAGTAAGTACATGCATATTCTATTTTTGTAAGTTAAGTGTTATATTAAATATAAATATTTCCATTACAAAGACAGCAAACTGTTGTCTGCTAATTTTTGCATTGTGATATGGTGTATGAATATTGGTGTGAATGCTTGTTTTCTAGTGCTGAGTTTAAAAGAACACGTAAGCGTGTTTTAAACTTATTTTTCTAGTATTTCCCACCCTGAAACCATTTCCTCTACAACCCATGGGCCCTTGGCCCTCAAACTTCACAGGTGCATTGGTCAAGGTGAAGTTGGCCATGATGATGATGATGAAACTCTTTCTGAATACAATACTGTAGTTCTTGAAATTATTTCCCGCTTTTTAAGTTAACACTTTTTGCAGTAGGCACAGTTTCACTAATGTCTAATGTAATAAATCTGCCAGTATTTGTAGCTTCAACAAACTTCATAAAATTAAATCATAATGATGCACTATACATAATCTATACCTAAGCTTGAATGATATACAAAATTTCCCTTTAAAAAACAGTCTTGTTGTTTGAAAGTATTAATCATTCCATTATTTACATATTAAATAAAAACATAGAATCAGCATGTTATCTACAGTTTGCATACTTTGAAAGAGTGTAATTTTACTTATTAAACAAGATGGTGTTTTGGTTTGTTTGTTAAGAACTACAATGGCCTATAATAATTATTTGTAATGATGAAGATTTGTTTAATTCCTTGACTTTTGAGCCTGCGACCTGTGAAGTATCAGGGCCAAAAACCCATGTTTTTGTGTTATTGGTCAAAAACAGTTTTTACATACAAGGTAAATGTGACCTTGACCTTTGGCCCTAAAATCAATAGCAGTCATTTACTGGCCAAAACCACATTTCTGTGAAGGGTCAAGAACCCATGGGTTGTAAACTTATTGGTTGGAAACTGTTTTAATAAACAAGGTCGATGTGACCTTGAGATTTGACCCCTCGACCACAATCGGATTTATCTACTTGCCAAGACCAATGCACCTACGAAGCTTGATGCAAAGGGCCCATTGCTTTGTAGAGTTATTGGTCGGAAACCATTTTGATAAAAAAGTTAATGTGACCTTGACCTATGACCGCTTGACCCCAAAAACATTAGGCTTCATGTACTGGTCATGAGCAATCTCCATACCTAGTTTGAAGTTTCTCGATCCAGGTGTTCTCAAGTTATTGACTGGAACTGTTTTGTCTACAGGCTGACCGACCCATTGAACAACATGTGCAAAGTAAAATACCCACACTTCTTCAAGAAGGAGCATAATAAAGTGAAAAGTTGGAACAATCTAACCATGTCAAATAATATCAACCATCATACCTTTCATACTATGACTGCTTCTAAAAACACCCTTCAACTTATATAATGTCAAACCTATGGAAAAGACCACCTCAACAGTAATATAGAAATACTGCTAAACAGTTATTCTAATAAAAATTCCCATGCTGACTATCTGTAAAAAGATCTCACAGACTTTTTACCAAAGAAGTGGTCTTTAAAAACACGTTTGACCCTTTTTCAAAAAGTAGCTTTTTAATACAATTTTGACCCCCTTTTTTAAAGCAGTTTCCAGCACAAGTTTGATCTTTTTCCCAAAAGTGGACAGTTAAATAATAAAATAGTCTGTGAAATAATGTTCACTTCATACCCAGGCCTTATTTCAGTTTGTCTTCTGACTGCACTATATCTAGTTGTTATAACACACGCCTGAGCCAGAGACCGAGCACAGTCGCCAGTAATCAAGGCTCGTATAAATACCATGGACCCGTATGCAACTTTGGCATTATGTGGAGGAAGGTAGGTGCCATCTTTCTCGACCTTAAAGCAAGGGAAAGAAAAAAGCAGGGTAGTTATGATTTTTTAACACATTTTCCTAAAATTTACTTTTTATTTGCACTTTGTATGTTTAAACATTCAAAGGTGTGTTGTTGGTTTTTTTGTTTTATTCTTTTTTCATTTTTAACTCATTCCTGTTACAAAAGATATTAAACATAATAAATCATAATTTTCATCCTTTAAAGGATTAACTCAGGCAAAAAAATGACAAAAATATTAAAATAATTTTATGAACTCAAATCAAGCTAAAACTACATTGTTTAAAATCCGAGCATGAATTTCTGTAATAAATTCTATATATTTCAAGTTTAAAGCGTAATTATATTTTATAGATCTTTATGTTGAACGATATTCAGAAGCGTGGGTCAGGTAAGAAAACCACTATTTAATACTTTATAATAAGAAAAGATTTGTTCATATGACTGGCTAATGTTCTCACTTGGAGGACATTTACAGAATAATGAATAAACAAGAGGGCCATGATGGCCCTGAAGTCGCTCACCTGTATATAGGCCCCCGGAGCGGGGCCAGTTTAAATCCCAGGGCTTTTATTTGAACAAACTTGGTAGACACCCATTAGAAGATGTTTCATGCTAAACATCTAAGGTCTAGCTGGTCAAGTTTTTTCTTTACACATATAGTTAAAAACAACTAGAACTATCACTAAATGTGATTAATACCCCCACAAGTCTGCTTTGGAAATGAGGATGTTACTAGTAACAGAATACCTTGTAAAACAATTGAAACATAGAGTTATGTTCATGTATGTTGCATTTCCTTTCAATGTGGTTGGCCATTGATGAAGTTTAATTGAATTACTCTGTAATAAGTCCAGAAAGACAAAGAAAAAGAACAAAGGGCAATAACTCTATAAATACTGAAGATAGAGTTATAGTTCTTGTGCACTGCACTTCCTCTTATTGTGCTTGACCATTGTATGAAGTTGTTTTGAATTCCAACCAGTACGTTTTAAGTTATGCTCCGGACAAGGAAAAGTATCAAAGGGCAGTAACTCTGTATTTTGTCAAAATGGAGTTATGGCTATTGTGCACTGCACTTCCTTTGAATGTCCTTGACAACTGTATGAAATTGTACTGAATTCCAAACAGTAGTTTTCAAGTTATGCTCTGGACAAGGAAAAGTAACAAAGGGCAATAACTCTGTAATTAGTCAAGATGGAGTTATGGTTCTTGTGCACTGCACTTCCCCTTATTGTGCTTGACCATTGTATGAAGTTGTTTTGAATTCCAACCAGTAGTTTTAAAGTCATGCTCTGGACAAGGAAAAGTAACAAAGGGCAGTAACTCTGTAATAAGTCAAAATGGAGTTATGGTTCTTGTGCACTGCACTTCCTCTCAATGTGCTGGACCATTGTATGAAGTTATAATGAATTCCAACAATTAGTCTTCAAGTTATGGTCCGGACAAAAGAAAGCAATGGAAAAGTAATAAAGGGCAATAACTCTGTAATTACTTTAGATAGAGTTATGGTTCTTATGCACTGCACTTCCTCTCAATGTGCTTGACCATTGTATGTAGTTATATTGAATTCTAACCATTAGTCTTCAAGTTATGCTCCGGACAAAAAAAAGAAGGCAATTGAAAAGCAACAAAGGGCAATAACTCTGTAATTACTTTAGATAGAGTTATGGTTCTTGTGCACTGCACTTCCCTTATTGTGTTTGACAATTGTATTAAGTTGTTGTTTTGAATTCCAACCAGTAGTTTTCAAGTTATGCCACGGACAAGGAAAAGTAACAAAGGGCAATAACTCTGTAATTAGTCAAGATAGAGTTATGTTTCTTACGCACTGCACTTCCTCTCAATGTGCTTGACCATTGTATGTAGTTATATTGAATTCCAACCATTAGTCTTCAAGTTATGCTCCGGACAAGGAAAATACAACGGACAAAAAAAAAGCAATGGAAAAAGGCAACAAAGGGCAATAACTCTGTAATTACTTTAGATAGAGTTATGGTTCTTGTGCACTGCACTTCCCCTTATTGTGTTTGACAATTGTATGAAGTTGTTTTGAATTCCAACCAATAGTTTTCAAGTTATGCCCCGGACAAGGAAAAGTAACAAAGGGCAATAACTCTGTAATTAGTCAAGATAGAGTTATGGTTCTTGTGCACTGCACTTCCTCTCAATGTGCTTGACCATTGTATGTAGTTATATTGAATTCCAACCATTAGTTTTCAAGTTATGCTCCGGACAAGGAAAATGCAACGGACGTCTGGACCGACCGACCGACCACCGGGTGACTCCTATATACCCCCCAAACTTCGTTTTTGGGGGTATAATGACACACCTGGGGCAGGGCCAGTTTTGCTATACACATATATGGAAAATCAATGTCCCCGGGGCAAGGCCAATTTTGACCCCAGGGCTTTCATTTGAACAAACTTTGTAGACACTCACTAGAAGATGCTTCATGCTTAATATCTAAACTCTAGCTATTTGAGTTTTTTCAAAGAAGATTTTTAAGTTTTTGCTATATACACATATAAGGAAAATAAATGACCCCCGAGGCGGGGCCAATTTTGACCCCAGGGCTTTTATAAGAACAAACTTAGTAGACACTCACTAGAAGATGTTTCATGCTTAGTATCTAAACTCTAGCTATTTGTTTTTTTTTCAAAGAAGATTTTTAAAGTTTTTGCTATACACATATAAGGAAAATCAATGACCCCCTGGGGCGGGGCAAATTTTGACCCAAGGGCTCTTATTTGACCAAACTTGGTAGACGTCCATTAGAGGATGTTTCATGCTAAATATCTTAGCTCTAGCTCTTAGGGTTCTTTAAAAGAAGATTTTTAAGTTTTTACTATATGCATATAGGGAATTCAATGACCCCCTGGGGCGGGGCCAATTTTGACCCCAGGGCTTTTATTTGAACAAACTTGGTAGACATCCATTAGAGGATGTTTCATGCTAAATATCTTAGCTCTAGCTCTTAGGGTTCTTTAAAAGAAGATTTTTTAAGTTTTTACTATATGCATATAGGGATTTCAATGACCCCCTGGGGCGGGGCCAATTTTGACCCCAGGGCTTTTATTTGAACAAACTTGGTAGACACCCATTAGAGGATGTTTCATGCTAAATATCTTAGCTCTAGCTCTTTGGGTTCTTTAAAAGAAGATTTTTTAAGTTTTTACTATATGCATATAGGGAAAATCAATGACCCCCTGGGGCGGGGCCAATTTTGACCCCAGGGCTTTTATTTGAACAAACTTGGTAGACACCCATTAGAGGATGTTTCATGCTAAATATCTAAGCTCTAGCTTTTTGGGTTCTTTAAAAGAAGAATTTATAAGTTTTTACTATATGCATATAAGGAAAATCAATGACCCCCTGGGGCGGGGCCAATTTTGACCCCAGGGCTTTTATTTGAACAAACTTGGTAGACACCCATTAGAGGATGTTTCATGCTAAATATCTTAGCTCTAGCTCTTTGGGTTCTTTAAAAGAAGATTTTTTAAGTTTTTACTATATGCATATAGGGAAAATCAATGACCCCCTGGGGCGGGGCCAATTTTGACCCCAGGGCTTTTATTTGAACAAACTTGGTAGACACTCACTAGAACATGTTTCATGCCAAATTTCTAAGCTCTAGCTCTTTGGGTTTTTTGGAAGAAGATATTTAAAGTTTTTTCTTTTGGTTGCCATGGCAACCAGAGTTCTGCATGGAATTAAATTCTTTGAACAATTTTCAAAGGTGACCACCAAAGGAACATTCCTGTGAAGTTTGGATGAAATTGGCTTGGTGGTTTATGAGAAGATGTCATTTAAAGTAAAAGTTTACGGACGCCGGACGGACGCCGGACGAAAAGCGATCACAAAAGCTCACCCTGTCACTTTGTGACAGGTGAGCTAAAAATTCAAAAAGAAAAAATGAAAATTTTGCCTGTGTCTCCCTTTAAGATGGATTTTTTTTTTAAAGAATAACACGGCCTGGGGTTCAAACCAATGACTATTCACAAATAGCAGCTACTCAAGACTATCTTATAAATATAAAAGAAATATGGACAAACATAAATCTAAATAATATTTATAATTTTAAGCAAATAAACTGGAATATATTACAAGAACTGTCGGAGGACAGTATTGGCTCGACTATTCAAAAATTTGTCACAAGAGAGTTTATTGAGTATAATAATGCTAGTTACCTATGAATACATAAAATTGACCGAAAAGGTACAAAGGCTTATTATTAAGATGTTTTATCAAGTAAATCACTGCTTTATTATTAATAATGCATAAAAATGTCCAAAAAACACACAAACTCTTCAGTAGTTATGGAGATAACAGCTTACAAGCAAAACTTTACCATGAATTTCTAAGTTGAAAAAGGGGAGAAAAATCAGCCTAAATGCAAGATAGAATTATGGATCTTGGTCAGTGACCTACAATTAAATTCTAAATGCATATGTGAAGTTTTAAATAAATATCTTTAATACTTACTGAGACATGTAAAACTTGCATATAAACATTAACCTAGAGACTAAGTAAAAAAGGGGAGATGAATCAGCCTAAATGCGAGTAGAGTTATGGAACTTGGTCAGTGACATACAAGTATGACTCTCCAATTATGTCCCTAAGTACATGTGTAAAGTTTCAAGTAAATATCTTTGAAGACCTTTAACCAAAATTTCTAAGTTTCAAAGGGGCAAATAACTCTGCAAATATTGCAGGCAGAGTTATGTAATTTTTCAAACTGATGTACATTGTTACTATAAAAAAGTATTGTAAATTTCAATTGAATTTCTCAGGCAATAATTGAGATATTTGACTTTACAAAAAAACTTTAACCAAAATTTCTAAGTTATAAAGGGGCATTATTCTGTAAATATTATAGGCAGAGTTATCCAACTTGTCAATCTGATGTACATTGTTACTATAAATAAGTATTGTAAGTTTCAACTGAATATCTCTAGCAATAATTGAGATATTTGAATTTACAAAAAACTTTTACCAAAATTTCCAAGTTAAAAAGGGGCATAATTCTGTAAATATTGTAGACAGAGTTATCCAACTTGTCAATCTGATGTACATTGTTACTATAAATAAGTATTGTAAGTTTCAATTGAATATCTCAAGCAATAATTGAGATATTTGAATTTACAAAAAACTTTAACCAAATTTCTAAGTTAAAAAAGGGACATAATTCTGTCAATATTGTAGGCAGAGTTATCCAACTTGTCAATCTGATGTACAATGTTACTATTAATAAGTATTGTAAGTTTCAATTGAATATCTCAAGCAATAATTGGAAATTTGAATTTACAAAAAACTTTAACCAAAATTTCTAAGTTAAAAAAGGGGCATAATTTTGTCAATATTGTAGGAGGAGTTATCCAACTTGTCAATCTGATGTACAATGTTACCATAAATAAGTATTGTAAGTTTCAATTGAATATCTCAAGCAATAATTGAGATATTTGAATTTACAAAAAACTTTAACCAACGCAGAGGCCGACGCGGACGCTGACGCCGAAGCCGACGCCGGGGCGACTACAATAGCTCTCATATTCTTCGAATAGTCGAGCTAATAAAGGGAACAGTCTAGCAAATACTTAGGAAACAGATGGAAGAATACTGGAAAATGTTTTAAAAAACTGACTAACTGCTAGGAGATTCTGATTGAACATATATCAAAATACAGGGTATTGTTACGGAGGTATACATATTAAGGAGAAAATACCAACAAGTAAATTCTTACACAGATATTGACCACAACAAGCAGGGTATTTTAACATATAGATGACCTCTTAGGAAGTTTCAACATCGCAATTACATTATGCAGTTATATCAAAAAGCAGGGTACTCTTTATACATATATAAAGGTAACTTTATATAAGATGTTACATAACATTTTATCATTATTAAGGAAACAAATTTTAAGTCAAGAGAATAAAAATTCAAATAGCTTATCAAAAATACACATATAATACACTACCATGATAAACTATTACCTTAGCATATCTCATTAACATGGCATCTCTGGGAACCCTGTAATTGTTGAACATAAGGTAGCCATTGTCCATACCTTCATAACCCAACTTGTTACCTATATCACCCACTGATACTCCTGCAATAATATAGTAGTGATCATACTACCAGGATACACATAAACTTCATTCTTCAATAACCTATTTTTGCCATTCAACTTTTAATCTGCTGGAACCAAAAGAAACAAGCAATTATCGAAATATTTCAAGCAATAAATAGTTCCCTAGAACACAACAACCAACATTATGAAAGGCCATGGCCATTCAATTATGCCAATGTGGAAGACATGAATGAACTTAAATCTTTTGAGTTTATCTATATCATAGTAATATGTTAAGTTTCCCTGCCTAATAAGGAAATGTTTATACAACAGAAAATCAAGATATCAAAACTTCTCAGGTAGTAAATAGTGACGCAAGATTTATACACCTTGTCATATAATCATAATGTGGGAGTTTGAAGGAAATCCTTTAAGAAACAAGAACATGCCCCCAGCCCAGATTCTTGTCAGTAAAATTTTCTCATAAAAGTTTACCCATTCACTCAGTTATAGAACAGCTCTCAATATACTTTGCATAGTCAAATCAAAAATGATGTGCATAATCTCCATACTGCCATCTATCCATGTTTCTAGTTTCATAAAAGAACTTTTTGAGTTAACACAAAATATTGCCATTGAATGTGCCATATTTCAAGTCTATTTGTTGCCATAGCAACCACAGTTTTTACATAGGAAGAAAAAAGAGGTGCATAATCTCCATACTGTCATCTATCTATATTTCAAATTTCATAAAAATATATTATGTTTCTGTATCCTTTACATTTACAATTCAGATGGTAATATGAGCTAATTATTTCAAGATAGAACCACTCAGTTTCCCTATGTTATGCTGTGATGATTATTTGACATTTACCAATATATAAGACAGGATTACCTGGCATAGGTGTATGATCCTTCAAACTTCTAATCTGTACAACAAATGCATGTATACCATGACACTTTCCTTTTGTATACAGCTGTGCCATCAATATCACATAGTTACATGTCTTTCCCACTGTAATTTGGTAAAAAACCTAATGATTAACTCTATTTAAAACAACAGATAATTTTTTATGTAATTTACTTTTTATTTTAAATATGACTATACCATTCTGGTGAAAAAACAGCTCCTAAATAATGCTATACTTAAAGTAAACATATTGATTCAGACTGAACTGACTTTGGCTATTAGGGAAGGTAAATTCATTGCATTATGTTCTGTGATAATTTGTGTTTAAGTTTAAATGCTAAATGGCCTTTGTTTACCACCATGTTTCAAAAGATGGGCAAATCCATTTCACAAATTGAGCAGGTTAAGGGTTAAATACAAGAGCTTCCTTTATATATCAAATCATTAACAAACTCATCATAACATTTTTATTTGCTCAACTATTGTTCAATATTAATATCAATAGTCTATCTTTCAACTATTGCTATCCTGATTCAAGACTTTCAATTACTTACTAGATCCTGGCCAGTACTTCATAGAAGATATGGTTGGGCTGTTAACAACAAACTCCTCTGTGGCAGCATCATATGTTGCTGTTGTCTCTAAACCTCTGATAAATGTTCCTGAAAATATACTCTCTATTTATAACATGTAAACTGAAATAGATTTATACTCTCTATTTATAACATGTAAACTAAAATAGATTTATACTCTCTCTTCATAACATGTAAACTAAAATAGATTTATTCCCTATTTATCACATGTAAACTAAAATAGATTTATACTCTCTATTTATAACATGTAAACTAAAATAGATTTATACTCTCTATTTATAAACACATTAAAACATTCCCCCTTTCTCACCTCAAATTACATTTTTAAGACAAAGGTATAAATCTTTGTAGAATCAACCTTGCATTATTTCAGCTCCAAATATGAAACCATTCAAACATTCCCTTGGTAGATTTAACAAGAGCACCGCTAGGCGGGGCATTATATGCCCGAAAGTACTTTAGCTGTAGGTTGATTAATGCTTGAATTATTGAGCGAAAACTGTTTCCAGTTTAAAGGTGATAGTAACCTTGATCTTTGACCTTGTGACCCCAAAATCAATAGGGGTCTTCTACCCAATATGGACAATCATCCTATGAAGTTTGAATACTGTGGACCAAATGGAACTTAAGTTATGCTCCGGAAACCATTTTCAGTTTTAGGGTAATAGTGACCTTGACCTTTAACTTTGTGACCCCAAAATCAATAGGGGTCTTCTACCCAATATGGACAATCATCCTATAAAGTTTGAAAACTGTGGGCCAAATGGAACTTAAGTTATGCTCCAGAAACCATTTTCAGTATTTAGCTAATAATGACCTTGACCTTTGACCTTGTGACCCCAAAACCAATAAAGGTCTTCTACCCAATATAGGCAATCACCTGTGAAGTTTGAAAACTGTGGGCCAAATGGAACTTAAGTTATGCTCCGGAAACCATTTTCAGTTTTACGGTAATAGTGACCTTGACCTTTGACCTTGTGACCCCAAAATCAATAGGGGTCTTCTACCCAATATGGGCAATCATCCTATGAAGTTTGAAAACTGTGGGCCAAATGGAACTTAAGTTATGCTCCGGAAACCATTTTCAGTTTTACGGTTATAGTGACCTTGACCTTTGACCTTGTGACCCTAAAATCAATAGGGGTCTTCTTCCCAATATGGGCAATCATCCTATGAAGTTTGAATACTGTGGGCCAAATGGAACTTAAGTTATTCTCCGGAAACTATTTTCAGTTTTACGGTTATAGTGACCTTGACCTTTGACCTTGTGACCCTAAAATCAATAGGGGTCTTCTTCCCAATATTATGCTCCGGAAACCAAATTGCTAACGGACGGACGGACGTTCTAACAGGAGAGTAATTATGTGGCTACTCTATTGTTCTCTCTATTGTTCTTTTTAGCCACACAAAAGAAAATAGCCACATAAAAGCATTACGGAATGAATGACATCAAAGAGAAAGAACAGTTACATATTGTCCCTCTAGCCACATAATTACTCTCCTGTGAGTGCGGACGGACAAACAGACGGACGCCAGGGGGTATAACATAATATGTCCGAAATTCTTTCGGGCATATAAAAAGGAACATTGAGGAGTATGTGATAAGAGGTAATTGAGTAAATTAACATTAACCACTGATACATTCTTTCCAGGTAAGTCAATAGTGAAGAAATCTACTAAATTATATAACAAATAATATAATAACTGAATTAAGTGAATATGTACTGTATTCCTATCTGAAAACAAATTCATTGTTTGAATTAAATAAATTCTAACTGTTAGAAATAAACAGTATAATTAAATAAACAGGTATTATTCAAACAAATAATAACACCTACTAATTACCTTGTAAAATTACCTTCAAAGTATAATGCAAACTGTAAGTAACCTGCATTATATGATTTTATTTAATCTGTATATAATGGAGACTTTCAAACAGCAAGACTGTTTAAGCCATCCAGTTAGCTCAATAGGTAGAGCGTTGGACTGTGAATACGGCGACCCGTGTTCAATTCCTGGACAGCGCAGGTCACTTTCGTTGTGATTCACTGATCATAAAATCCTTTCTACGATCGTTCCCAATGTAACTCTGCTTTGGCATGTATATAAGTTTCGGTTCCTTGCTAAAGTGAAGGCAACTAGTACTGGTAAACTCTATGACAGCCTGCTCAGGAACGATGCGGTGGCTGAACTGTGCTCTGGTGAATTCAATGTGGCTTACTGTGGTGATCCGGAGTGAAAACTACCAACACCACCACCACCCACAGCAAGACTGTTTGCAAAGGGAAATTTTATCTTGAAATGTGTGTAATAGTTAAGCATAGGTAAAAGCTATGCATACTACCTCATAGTACTTGATAATAACATCATGATAATTTACGTTGTTGAAGATACAAATGTTCCCGGATTTGATACATGCTTTTTTTGCAGATACAAACATTCGCAGAAATGTATTCACCGTGAAAAAAGCACTAATCTAACTTCATTTGTAATATATATCCACATACCATGCCCAAGTTCAGTCTGTGCATATGTTCCTAGAATCTTGAATTTTTTGGCTGGTTCCACATATTTTGCAATCTGTTCCTTGGTACCCTGTTTTTCAATGGTTGGAATGAACATCACTTGATGGAGCCCCAAGGGATTATTCTCCTGACAAGCTGCAGCCCTAAATTATATACAGGTATAAATTGTTGTTACAAGTGTACACTGGGTAGGGCTGGAGCCATATTTTACATCAGATTAAGGCCAGATATAATTAACCCTTACCACACTATGAAATATCCCAAAAAGGGGTACCGTATTGTTTCTATAAATAGCCCCCCTTCTAATTAGCGCCCCCTGGGTGAAAAAAAAAAAAAAAATTCTTACCGGACTTGAAAATTTTAATATCCGAAGTGTATTTAAAAAAATAAACAGAAAAAAACTAACTGTTGTAACTTCCAAGTAACATTTAACTTCCAGTTTGAATGCATTCATGTACGTTTTCTTAGAAGTGCAACCTTCCATTGTGTATTGATTTAATCATTAAATCAAGTTTTTTTACACACAGGTAAACTGATGTGTGTTACGTCATAATTTCCCGCCAGAGCAGGAAAAATCAATACATGACAAAGTTTATGTCGGTCAGCGGACTACCATATTGTCTACAATAATTTTGTGCATCTTATTTATCATACGTGAACAAGGGGTTTATAGGACGAAAATAGTTGGGAGATTTTTAGTTATTTTTAAACATTAAATTAATTTTCATTTTATGCAAATGTGCTTCTAATTAACGCCCCCCGTTTCCGTTTTTGCAACGCCCCGGGGGCGACAAATGGAAACAATACGGTATATTAATAAAGCTATATCTGATGAAATATTTTTATAAAATCAATCAACAGTAAAATTATGTTGGTTCAATAATCTTACCGTCCATTCTTGAAAGAACATCATATAAGAAAATGTCTTTGTTTAAGAAATAATATATCCCAAACAGTGATTTTATCGCTCAATAACATCACTGTTTGGAGTTCGGATGCGACGAATTATATCATGAGGGCGTAGCCCGAGTGATATAATGATGCGCATCCGAACGACAAACAGTGAAGTTATCAAGCGATAAAATCACCGATTTGGATATATTATTTCGATTCTAACACGACATCAACAAATAAATGCTCTGTACCTCAGATATTAAGCAAAATTGCGTCTGATTTGTTTCCGTACTTATTTTCAGCGCGTCACATTTTTAGTGGTTACGTCACGTGTATAATGATTACGTCACATATCTAAATATAGAACGTCAAACAGTGACTTTATAGCATAATAACACACACTTTCGGTTCTTCTATGTTCAATAGGGAAAAATACCGGTCGTGTTAGAATTAATAATTTAACACACAGGAATATTTTAGGTACACAGAATAAAATATTCTGCAACAAAAGTCCTTAATCAAATTGTGAAGGTTACAGGAGTCAATTAAGGTAAACACTAGTAGGACAATTATTTCTTGATAGGTCATATAGGGCAATGAACTTAAACAGTTGTTATATGAAATACACTATATATAGATCTAATTTTCATAACAACTGTGTATTATTATCTGAAACAATTTTGTTTGCTTTAACAGATTTATTCAATACCTATATTTTACAATATAAATTCCTTTAATACTTACTCTCTGATGTAGAACTGTTCAACATTGTTGGTGATGTTGAGATCTTGTACAAGTTTATTGAGGTAAACACTTTTCTTGACAGCAATGTCATAATGTTCCTCACGACCACGATTCCACCATGGTGTGAATGACTTTATATATTTGTCTTGGAATATCAGGTTTTCTGAAAATATTCAATAATTTAAGGTTAAAACCCTTCTTCCACATTACCTCCACCTACGAAAGTTAAGTAATAAGGGCTGAGAATTAATGTCACTTACATACAAACTGAGGTGTTCAAATCACATAAGTGACATATTATATCATAACAGCGGGTCTTCTCAGTGGTCATAAATCATCACAATGAGGATTATTACACTGTACAGTAACACCTAATGCTAAATAAGTTATTTTGATAATTGTAAAATAAAAAGCTATTATAATTTGACCAGGAAACTTTTCATTAAGATGAATATGCTGTGAGGGGCCAACCAGAAATATTTAATAATGACATTATTTTGACAGTCATTGACATTTTCTAGATGCAAAACACATTATTGCAATATAAACTTAATTGGTCCTTTCTGTAGTGCCAACTTAATTAATTCATTGCTTATAAAATTTGCATGAGTTGTCACAAAAGTTATCAAAATGGCAAACATTTAATTCTTTTCCTTACTTACAGTTGGTTTATAAATAACAAACTTTTATTTTTTATGGTCAAAATTTAGGATGATATATACACATAGACTTAAGGACATGATCAAACTCTCGTAACTCATGAGGGCAAAATCTAGATTGACATTCATACCTACAATCTAATTCATGACCCCAGACATGTATTTATAAATGGGTGTGCTTGATTTATTTAAATTTTGAAAAATGATATTTAACAAACAAGCACTTATTTCATAAAATTTCTGAATTATCATTTTCAAAATTTCGTGACAATGTATTGGCTAATGGAATATTTTTGCTGCAGTTAAAAAATAAAATTTACGCATTAATTGTTTAGTATTTATATGATGATGATAAATATTAATGCACATTTTTTAGAATTATTTCAAAAGGGAGATGTAGTAATCAGCCATTAGCTATATTATAAATATATGTACATTGGGCATGCTCAATAACATGTCTAGCAAGTCTCAATGTTAGGAATTTTAGAAGAATAAATTGAATTCTTGTTAAGTATACATTTGTGTTATATCACTATTTTGTGAAGTCTGCTTGATTATTATATCTCCCAACAACAAAACACTATCCGTTGTATGTATATCTGTGTTACTGTGCAGCAGGCAATATATAATATATTATATATACAGTATATATTTTTTTTTATAAAAATTACTTAATATATTTTCAGTATATATTTTTTTCTAGAATTACTTTTTACACTATCCAAACACTGTGCAGAGTCCCCGCGATACGGAGAATGAATTCATCATGTAAATTTTGACAAACACAGACTTCCTGAGAACTGTCAGACTGACGGACATTATCAACATATTTTAACACAGTCTGACGATTTTTAAGCTTAAGTCGGTCCACTATCCAGCACAAGGGAAACTAATATTGACAAATTCCTTGTTTGCTATTGAGATTACTCTTCCTTGAAAATCTTGCTAACAGTACACAGTAAACATGATGTGCTTGAAGTATAATGATGGCATTGCTTAATGGTAAAAAGATTCAAATTGCTGTAAATGTGTCAGTCTGAGTTTGACAAAAGTCAAGGGTTTGTCAGACCAAATGCCTGACTCTTTTTTCAAACTTTCAGGAAGTCTGCAAACGGATTTTTGTAGAAAACTTCAACGTGAACTACCAGCATGCAAGTAGCTATAGAGTACGTACGCCTATAATACCCAAAAGTTGTCAAATAAAAAAAAACCAGGAACTATTTAACATACTGCATGGAAGGGTATAAATAGATATTATATTATAAAATAGATTAATAGATATTATTACCTGATACCTTATTTAAATGTAATTTGGTATTTGTTACTGTTTTCTGAAATTCTAAAAACTTCAACGTTTGCGAACTGTTGACCGGTCAATAGTATATTTTATGGTATATAAAGCGATGAATGAATTAACGCCAGCATATATTTCTAATCTAATTCCGTTATCTCAAAATAAAACTTACTTACTAAGATCAACACATAAAAAAGATATTATGCATAAACGACCTAAAACAAATTATTATAGAAACGTACTTTTTATTATTCTAAGTATGGAGTTATGGAACACTATTCCTTTAAAATAAAGAAATTTTCAAGTCTTAAATTATTTAAATCACATTTCAAACATTTATTATTATCTTAGAGATGAATTTATAGAAAATTTTACCTATATTATAATATAATATTATGTCCTGTCTTCTTTGTTGATTAAGATTAACTGAATGTTGTAATCTTTACAATTGTTTGAATATGTCCGTTGTTATGTTTATGTTTTATTGAAGGCCTTGTTGAAAATAAGATTTTGCATTATATGTGTTGTATCTAATGCTTTGATGTATTGTCTTAATAAGTTACCTTCGTTAAATAAAGAGTTTATTATTATTATTATTATTATTAATAGTTTCGACTGTTCCCTCACATGTTCTGACGTCATTGACGTCATAGAGGATTCCAACTTGAAGCGTCCATCGATCTTGATCACGAACCTGATATAGTCTCAATATTTCCACGGCAAGACAGACCGATTTTATAATCTGATATTTCATATATGTCTGTCTTTACGAAGGGAGACCATCGTCTATATAAAAAAAGCCCTCAAGCGCACAATTTGTTGGGCTAGAACCAGATATAGTTAAAGCATTAAGTTTAATTATGAACATATGTGCAAAACTATTTTCTTGTTCCTTTTTTCTTCTGCAAGTACTGTTAAAACAGTAATTGATCAGGTAATAAAACAGTTATTTCATATGTGATTTGGGAACAGACAAACAGTTGTCCCTCGGTGTCGGGGGATATTGTTTTGAACTGTTGCCCTCGGCCTATGGCCTTGGGCAACAGTTCAAAACACTACCCTCTCCACCTCGGGCCAACAGTTTGACTGTTCCCAAATTACATATGAAGTAACTGTATACTGTTGTGTTTTTATTACGTCCTAGTTATTAACCTATTTTTGACAGCTGAATTGAATCCGAAAAAGTTTTAATTGAAAAATGCATCACTTACGTAAAAATCTCCGACGTCTGACCATTTGTTTTCCATTATACAAGATTTCTGTCAATTTTTCACTGTCAAAAGAAGCCGACTTTCTTTCCTTTCGTAAATCATTGTTCACGTCCATGTTTGCCGAAGTCTGTTAAAGTATTGCTTGCTTGATTGTAAATTAAACTTAAACATCGGGTGAATAACACCGGAAAAGATACCTTTACACGGAAAGGACCAGCCGAAATGGCACAGATAAATATTTAGCTCCATGGTAATCGGATTTTTCAAAAGATTTCAATATGTATAATTACAATTAATCAAAATAAACAAATATATATCTATAGAAGTTGATGTCTTTCATTTAAGAATTGGTGAAATTTTGAGAGAAATATCACACCTTCCTCAAACCGCCCTGGCCGAAAAGGACTATATTTAATTTACATGATCGGAAAGGGCAGAATATAAAAGATATTCTAAAAATACTGTACAAGTATCGTAATGATTTAATAGAGAAAATGATAATTCGTTTGTTGTAATTTTTTAAAGGTACAATATACTAATTTATTGATAGGAGTAAATTACAAAGTCTGATTCTGAACAAGTGGAAATCACTAAAAAAAAAAATAAAAGATTTATTATCTGAGTAGGAAAAACTTTATTATAAAAGGTCACTTTTTTTCCGACGAATCCAAAATGTATTTAAATAAAATAAAAAAAAGAAGCCCGGCTAAATCGTAGCAATCACAACTTTGGTTCACCTCAACAGTCTAGCCTGACGCTGATATTAAATATTACAACTGAGCCATCGTGTCATCTACTGTCAATTATGCTCGAAACCATCAAAACCAAACTCCGTCAGAAAAAAGATACACAGAGAGCATTACGACATCTGTAAAAAAATGGCAGGGGATTAATTACTATTTTAGTTAAATACATTTAGCCAATGGCACCTTGCATTAATGAGTTTCTGAAAATACATGTATATGTCAATAAATGAATTGATTGAGTTGACAACTTATATTTACTTTTTTCTTATTACATATTATTCATATTATGATAAAAGTTTTGGTAACATACATTTTTAAGAATATATGTTATACATGTATTATTAAACTTTTATCATGATGTTTATGATGGACTACACCAACAGTCACGTGTTCAATAAGGGGCCCCGCAGTCTTTGATAACCAATACACAGCGACTTCCACCTGCCATTAACATTGTACTTTCCAAAAATTTAGGATTTTTTTAGGGTGTGTGACATTCTGAGGTTAAGTAACTCTCTCATGCGTGAAAAAATACGTTAGCAGATTTTTTTTTCATAACTACTACAAATCAAACTTATTCAAAAAGCTCTACAAAAACATTAAAATAATAATAATAATAATAATAATAATAATAATAATAATAATAATAATAATAATAATAATAATTATGATAATTTAAACTTTATTTCCGTACAAATTGTAGTATTTGTAGTATGGCTGTTATTAATTAAACGTTTTCATTATTAAACATATTAAATAACCAACCAAGAAACATAATTATATACAGTACCGAAAATCATTCAAATACAAAAATATATCATAGTCATCAACAATAAAAAAAAAAACATCATTAAAATTGTCAACAAGCATATCACAAGCATATCTTTGACGAAATGCATGAGATAATCGATAATTCATCGTCGACACCGAGAACTGGTGGTCAATTCCCGGGATTACTATATGTTTAATACGATCCCGGATCCCGGCTTTTCTGTAGGGTCTCAACCCGGTACGGAATTAGACCCAACCCATTGTAGTTCTAGAAAGTAGTTCTTTTAAATTTTGAAATGGCCTATTTCAAGTAATCTTAATTGATACTGGTTATATTTTAAGTATATTTTTAGTAATTGTGTACATAAAGTTTCATTTCTGAGTACTTTAAAGGTTGTTTTTGATGTATTTTTGCAGGATTTCATTTCTGGGTGGAAGGTTTCAGGAGGCACTATGCACAAGAATACACACCAGTTACTATTTGGAATATTCTATAGTGATTACAGAAATTAAAAGCTTCAGAAAAACTCCAAGGGCTAATGTATTATTTTTTTTGTGCTAAATTTACTTGGACTGCATTGGTGTTTAAAGAAATGGTCATGAAGTTTCGGAACCGGATTTGCTTTGTCCAGAATTTAGCCTTAAATGTGATGGATTTACTATAGGATATATGGGTCGAAAATTCAGTGGGCCGTCTCCGTAGGCGATCCCGGGATATTTCCCCCATTATAAATATGAATCAAGTGCACAGTATGTAAACGATTTGAACCCCAACCGGATCTTGTGAGAAGATGTCAGTGTCAGCCATTTTCTAACGCTTGACTTACATAATATATTGGTATTTATATTGATACTTATGGACGTTAGGTTAGTAAATCTATATTTATATCGTAGAAGAGAAACTTTATTAAGCGTTTAAGTTATGCAAAATATAAATGTTAGCATTAAAGCTATAAAATAATCGAAACTCACGAACTGCTTTCAGGTGATAAACACTGAACACTAGCAAAAATCCGTCTTATTTCAAGGTTTATTTAGTTAAACATTGAATTGTGATATCGAACTTCTAAAATAATCAATAACAAACGATAATTTAGTCATCTGCAAAAAATATTGCTGTATTTTGAACATTACTGTAGATTATCATTAAGAGTTTAACCAAGGAGGTCAATTCCGTAAACTGAACGTTACTTGCTGGTGATTGTGAACCCTACTTGTGAGTTTACGAATTTTATCTGTACCCTGACTTGTGAGTATTTTTAAAGATTTAATGGAGAGAACGTTTATTATTTAACGTATTTATTTGTTTATTAACAGGCAAAATGGAAGAATTCAGTTGTTTTCATTGCCACCCTTCTCTTAAAAAAAATCGGAAACACTATTGTTCATAATTTGGACATCAGAACAAAAGCTTAAAATAACATTTCTCAGTTTGACAACAATAACAGAAACATTAAAATCATACTCAAAAGGCTTTAGAATTATTCCAAAAGAACAGAATAAATTAAAAAGGACTTTAAAAGCAAATGATATTACAAAAACAGTAAAAATTTCAAGACAAGAAGGACTTGAAAAATAATCTCCAATCAAGAAATGTCAAAAAATCAAAACGCCTGTTAAAGATATTCTTACATCGACCAAAGATACGTTTTTTAGTACAGATGAGGAAGGGTTTAAGTTTAAACTTGGTGTCAACTTATTCCACAGATCCCACATTTATGTTGTCAAGATTGTGTTTTAAGGGGAGTATTTGTTACACGAAAGCTACTGTCAAGACCCTCAACTACAAATACTTCATCCAAATCCATCTGAAATACATGTATATGGCAATTTATAGAAAGGAACTGGGTTTAGATATATCTTATGATAGCCAATGATAAACTTTTTAAGTTGTGTGAAGTTATCTTAGACACTGGCAAGACTGTAAACTATTTAAAAATAAGTGGAAATAAACTTGCAAGAGTGAAAACTACCTTTAAGACATGTAACAAAAATATGCAGGAAACTCCTTAAAATGATTTATTAAGAGTGATCCTAGTCGTGTATGTCAGAAAAAGAATGTCAGAAAATAAAAGTCGAGGCATTTATGAGAATATAAAACCATGTTTCAAAAAGCATCTTGAAATCAACGGTAGGTGTAAAGCTTTCAACATGTTGAAATACTAGTAAGTAATCTGCAAAAAAAATCCTGTGATGATCTTTCGAGGAGGATGGATTGATATGTGACGTTATACAACGGTCACGTCAAAACCAACAACAATGCCGTTGACTTATTAGTAGAAACGTTTATAGTACTTATGTTATATCTTAGCTCTATATCTTTTCAAAGAAAAATGAATGAAGATAAGATTTGTTGGTTGATAATTCCTGTCAAGACAAAAATTTCTTCCTAATTCGTATTGCCAGCTACTTCATGCTGCTATTTCCATGGAAAGTGAAAACATGATGAAGGCCCATTCATGTGCAGTATTGGTTACTTATATAGAACTAAAAGATGTGTCATGCTCTTGTGACACAATAACTTCATATTCTGCAACATATAATTTGGAACATAGGACAAAAACAATAAAAATCATCAAAAGTGACTCGCAAGTTATGGTTCAGTGAAAACACAAGTAGGGTACAGATCATTAAAACTGTTTTAGCAAGACGGGTACAGTTATCAGAATGTTCGCCTCTATTATTTACTATGTTTTTATCAATATTCAAAGATATCTACACAAGTGTCTGTGCGGTAACATGAGGTAAGACAATAAAGTTAAGATTCAGATATTAGTTATAGTGAAATAAAACAATTTTAGGCATAAATTTGCTTGTGTAATCGGCGTGTGTAGACATAAACAAAACACGAAGCGAAGAGCAAAGGGTTTTATGCGCATAAATTTAAAGAAGCTGGTTATAGATGTGTCTATAAGCAAAGAAAAAATATTTCTTAATATGATTCAAATGTTTACATACCGTCACAGATTAAATGCTAGCCGTCTTAAAAAGTTTTATGGGTCACCCCACTTTTTTGTACGGCACTGATGTTGATATCTTCTCACAAGATCCGGTTGGGGTACAAATCGTTTATATACTGTGAAGTGTGTCTACTTTCGTTTTCACTTGTGATACTTTACATCAACGAAGAATTTTCGACAACATTGTTATTTAGAATGAATAATACATGCGTTGAAGGATTTTATTTTAGAGGTAGAGCATTATATTTATAAATAAATAAAGCATACGTGTACCAAATCAATCTTATTTTCTCGGAGTCACTCTTTTTGACTCGGAGATTCACGGACTGACGGAGTCCCGCTGACTTAATTGTCACTCGTTATCGACGCGGAGTCACTCTTTTGTGTACGAGAAATTTATAATCCACTCGGAGTCACGCTTTTTGTAATTACTCGTAGGAATTTGCATATTCCTCGTTATCTGTACTGTACTTAGATAACTTATGTTTGATTATGTAATATTACCAATCATGATTTGTAGAATCATTTGTCTCCACACTGATTCTCATAAGAATTGTGAAATTGACAGATCAAAAGTCGAAAAAATCGACCTTCTTAATAGGGCTTAATTTCAAAGATTTCGAAAAGTAGAACCCTTACATGAGACAATTGTGAAATTTTTTGAACATCAACCAAATAGTGAAATACTTTGCGAGTACTACTCTCTGAAAGAAGCAACCCTACAGGGTTCTCACTAGGACTTTAAAACATGGAGTCCATGGACTCCCAACCCTGAAAAAGTTGGAGTCCAAAAGCGCATCGCAATTAATATGTTTACAGATTAGTCATTCAATACTCACAATAGCATTGCTGATATTTTGAATCTTCAAGAGACTTCCAAAGTTTATAGTTATTCAAAAGAAACTCTGAACTACATAGTATAATTATTGTTTTGTTGTTAATATTTATTATGAAATTATTTCATTATAATGCATCAACACATGGAAATCGTCTTTTTTTTCACTTTTATACCAAATCAAAATTTTATTCTGGTTAAATAAGTCCACTCTAAAGACAAAAGTTTGTATTTGTAAAAGAAAAACGTAAATGTATATAGGCAGCGTTTAGCGGAATGAATAGGAAAATCGTGTACAGCTTCACACAGTGTGTAAGAGATTCATCCGATCGACAATTATTTTAGCAAATATCTTCAAAAGGGGGCAAATTGAAGATTGATTTTTAAAGATTTAATGTTTATTAAATAATAAAGGAACAATTTATCGCATGTTTGGCATGGAAACGAGAATTTTTGCGAAATTTTAGGGTTTCTGGCGAACGTGAAATCGCCAATGTTTGGATCAATTTTCGGATAGAATCTAAATATCAAAGAAAAGCGTATGCGTACCTGGCATTTCGGCACAATATCTTAAATTCTTAATACCCTTATAGAACGATTTTGCAAGAATGAAACTAAAGCAAAATTGTGCCTAGAAAATGCCGAAAATAATCGACAATCATTATTATGCGAACATATTCGACAATCATTCAAATTACACTCATTTGTAATTGAGAAAACAGTCTTTAAACTTGCGGCGTAAATAGTCGGTAATTTTTTCCTTTTGTCGGTAAAATTTGCTAATTTCCAATCAACTGTTGATCTATCACCTTGTGTTATATCTGAATTACATGAACTGTACAGCGCGTGTATACATTTAATTAGTCTGATCACTATAGCGTGATAATGATCGGAAGCGTTATCGCTGATTGGCTAATCGCTTCATGGGTTGATGTGCATAGGACCGCCTACCTATAGACTGACACGCGCTAACGCATTTGTGTATTTCTGGTTGTAAACAATCGGTAATGTTTATGCGTCCCCAGGCAAAATTAAGCGTACGTGGAATCCTTGCTCTGAAATATTTGCGTCCAGCTGTAATAAACATGCGTACCGGGACGCCGAAATAAGCGTCCCCGAGAACCCTGAACCCTAGTTGTAAAATTTATCCTATTGTAATGTACGCTACTACCAGTTTATTAATTAAAACATTCCGAATTTCATAAGAAATATTAAACATATCCACTTCAGAGAACTTTATTTTTGCCATGTATTCATTACATTTATAAAATAACAAAATATTTCACTATGAAACGCTTGAAATATTTTTTTCTTGAGCTTGCAAAGTTATAGCAATAAAACGCAATTCTATACAAAAGTATGTTTATTTAAAATGCGAAATGTTTGATGATTGGTTTCAATTGTATGATTCCATTTATTTGTTCTTATGTTTTGTTTAAACCTTACTTCAATAATGATAACGTGACGAAAAAAAACTTTGCAAACAAAATACATGACTAAAATTTTGTGGTAGAGTCTTTTTGACAGAACATCAATTGTCTCGGACATTACGTAATCCAGTAAAATATTTGTTGTGGGTAATAGTAATAGTTATTATTATTATCATTTTATTATACAATCATTTTTTAAGTTTAAACTTAATATTTATTAAGTGTGTTCATTAAAGCTTGTGTTAATAGCATGGGTAAATAATATTGTACAAACGAATTAAATTACGAGTATAACTATGTATCCGGCATACAAAAGAAGTTATATACCTGTCCTTATATTAATATCAATGTCATAAAACATATTTACTGAGATCGTGGGCATATATGCAGCGTACAGAATAACAATACATATATTACAATTCATGCCTTTGATATTATTAAGGCTACATCAAATTTTAAGATTTGAACAGAACATTTCAAAAAGGGCATCTTACTAGCCAATATTGAGATAAAATGTATTTTAATTATTAATTATTATGTGCTTCCTACGTAGTTTAAAATATTTCAATTACAAAGAGCCAACATTGTCATTTCCTCTTCTACACTTGTAAGTGCAATTGCTACTTATTTCTAATACAGATTTCACCATACATGAATGTAGAGATGAAGAAAATTTTCAAGATCTTAGTGTAATGTTCGATACTAATATTGTAATGTTTGATACATCGTTGTTATATGTTGTAGACACTAGCATGTGTATAATATTGCAGATGATATATTTTAAACATGTCAGCAACTATGTTAATAGTATCTGATAATATTTTCAGTTATTATATGTATGTTTATAATAGTAGTTTTTTTACTAACGCGGTGAAACGTTATTGGGGTTTGAAACTGATTTAGATGATAATCAACAATATTGCCTCATATATATTGACGCATTTAAATTACAAACACCTATTTACTTTATTTAAACAATATATAATTATGGAATATTTTCTCAAAACAAAAGCAAAACCGCTGAAAACATTAACAAATGTATAGATTGCCATCAGAATAATTCAGTAATGTTCGATACGAAATGTAGTGAACATTACAATACCTATTATGAAAGGCATATCACTTATAATCTATATCTAAACAATTTCAGTAAGGAAACCTTGCATACAGATTCTGGCTTTAGAAGAAAATAAATATTAAACGTATTACATCTTTGTTTTTGTAGTTACTAGAATCTGATATTCAGTTACTAGATTCTAAAGCCTTATTTATACAAAATTAAGAAAATTTGATTATAACTGTAAAAATACAAGGAATGTATACATTTATGCTGCATCTATGATTAAGTATAACACAAAAATGACTAGTTTAAGTCCTGGTAAATTGAAAATTAAGTATACTAAAGCCATGTTACATTTTTATTGTATTGGACATTACAGTCGCGTACATTACAGACATATGTGTATTAAGGCCCCCACGATTACACGTTTAAACGGATTCGTTTCGATTTTCATTCATAAACGTTTACGACATTGTTTACCGTTTAATCGAAATGACCATATTGTCTTACAAAATTTCTTAATCATTGCCTGTAATCATGGATTTTATCAATTCTAGTTGTTTATTCCAAAGTAAACAAACGGAAAATAGGTGTGTACAACCCTCCACACAGCATTACATTTTTACATAATACATTTTTGGTAAAAAAATGTGGTTACAATTGCAACAAATGTGTGCTGACTCAATCGTGATGAGCCCTTCGCAATCTTTATTTGTACATGTGTAAAAAATAGAAAGAAAGACATCATTTGGTTACTCAAATACATGGTGTGTATAGTACATAGAGGTACCACCGTTTAAACGGTATCGTTTCGGTTATTAGCAATCGTGTAAACGTTTACAAAAAATTGTAAACGTGGGAGCCTTAATGTGTATATAGATATATTAAAAGATTCGTGGGCACAATTCTTTCAGATTTGGTTATTATATATCCCTCCAAATGTAAATCATTTATTAAAAATTCCTTAATTGGGAAATAGTGCATAGAACGTACTAATTTTTAAGTAGCGAACATTACATGCTTAAGTCATCATCTGGCACAGGCTGTCAAAGTAATAGAATCTCGGTTAATTCTTAGAATTTATCATAAGAAAGATAAGTCTGGCTATAGTAGCATAAGTATTTAATTGTAAATAAACATATAAACAACTTAGATTACTAAGTTATTTTCAGTTATGTGCGGCACTTAATTTACAAGTCGCGTACATTACCGATGCCAGTAAATTTTGGCGACAGTTCTAAAACATTCTACATATGACAAAGATCAGTCTTTTCAAGTGGGTCAAGCTTCGAAAACAGATAAGAAGACATACATGCTCCTGCACAAATTAATTTTTTGCCGAAATTGTATAGGTTTTTGGGGTTACACTAGCTCAAACACGAATAATCCAAAATGGCGACAGTCTCGAACATTACATTTCCAATAGCTTCCCTCATAAAATTTTGGTATCGAATGTGTTATCAATGAAGTCTATGGATCAAAAAATTACCTTACATACTTTTTGCACGTTACCAATCAAATAGCAAGTTTTTCTGAATCGATTATGTTCAGAGTGTGCAGCGACATCAATTTCACAATTTGCGTGAGAATAAGTGTCCAATCAATAGGCAGGCTGCCCGAGGAAAATTTATTATTATCATTAAAACATTCAAATATCTATCCAGAGCCAGAGATACAGTACAGCTCGAAGAAATTGTTACACATTAAACATTACTTTCTGTAATGTAATTTAGTTAAGTGCTTATCATTTACATTTTGTTAACATGGTACATGTTACCTATTTTAATTATCAAAATGTTAAACTCATATTATGCAAAGTGAGTAATTATTTCCCCCAACTTAATTTTGATTACTTATTGTTATTATGCCCCCGGGCATATAGTAATTCAACCATCCGTCCGTCTGTCTGTCCGGACATTCTTACCAGAGCTACATTATGGGGTTTTCTTTTGTTTATGTTATTTCTCTTTTGTTCTTTTTAACCCCACAATGCAGAAAATAACCCCACAAGAGAAACGGAATGAATGACATCAAAGACATCAATTGTTATGAGAACAATAGACCAACCCCATAATGTAGCTCTGGTGTCCGTCTGTCCGTACGAGGTTAACCTAGAACGGCAAGTTGGATTTTTCTTAAGTTCTACCTGTACCAATGGCTTCTAAGTTTACACACTTACTAATCAATACAAAGTACATGATCTGGGCAAGTTACATGACTCTGGCTTTCATATTTACCAAGTTATTGCCCTTTTCAGCACTTAGAAAATGAATAATGGTTAACCTAAAACGGCAAGTTGGAAATATCTCATAAATGACGTCAAGTTATATTATCATTTGGCACGCTTTTCATTAAATATTAGGTTAAAATGTCTTTTTAAACGTTTCTTTGCATATAATAAAAAGAAAATTTGTTTAGTTAAGAGTAAGATTGAAATATATTTCACCTTGTGAACACCAAAAGTTCATATTTCACTCTCAGTGAAATACAAGCGTTCACAGTACTGGAAACCAACTTAATGACGTGACGTCATAAATGACGTCAAGTTATATTATCATTTGGCGCGCTTTTCATTAAATATTAGGTTAAAATGTCTTTTTAAATGTTTCTTTGCATATAATTAAAAGAAAATTTGTTTAGTTAAGAGTAAGATTGAAATATATTTCACCTTGTGTACACCAAAAGTTCATATTTCACTCGTGGCTGCGCCACTCGTGAAATATACCTTTTGGTGCTCACTCGGTTAAATATATTCCGATCTTAAACTGAACTAAACAAATATCCTCTATATAAACATTTTTGCTCAAACAGCCTTTATTTTTTACTTGATGTCTTAGTTTAATACAAACATGCCAAGGGAGGTCCTCCTTCTTTGGGTGTAGTAAGGGGTCATTTGGGTCAAGGTCAATGTTACCAATGTCAAGGTCACCAATGTTAGAAATAGATTTTTACATATCTACAGGACTGGTGTATTGACCTAATATTCTATAGACAGATGTTATTTATAATTGATAGAAACATAAACTTTGATGGAGTTAGTGGTCAGTTGGGTCAAGGTCACCAGTGCTAAAAGTAGATTTTTACACATTTGCTTGTATGGTATTCTTCCTTTGAATGGATTAAGGGGTCAGTTGGGTCAAGGTCAGGAGTGCTAAAAATAGATTTTTTACACATTTGCCCATACAGCCTTTATTTATTGACAGATGTATTTCATATTTGGTAGGAAGATAACTTACATGGTATTCTTCTTTTGGATAGAGTTAGGGGTCAGTTTGGTCAAGGTCACCAGTGCTCAAAATAGATTTTTACACTTTTGCCGATACAGCCTTTATTTAATGACAGATGTATTTCATATTTGGTAGGAAGATAACTTGCATGAAGTTGAATGTTTTTCAACTTCACAAGTCAGAGCTTATATTTTTCACAATTACAAAATGCCATGACTTTGTCAAGCTATATAACTTGTGTTTACAATTTTTTGGCAATTTTTCTGTCCATAACTGAGTGAATGGTAAACATTTTTTGAAATATTGACAAGAATCTGAGCCGGGGGCATTTGTGTTTAACAAACACGTTCTTGTTATTATCTTGAAACACATTGTCTAAAAATTGTATATTGACAAACATGTATTAAAAATTCTTGAGATTTTTTATTATACATTGTATTCTTGGACTGTCTAAACCATTAATAAAGGATATTTTAACTAATACTGTCTAATAAAACATTGTGTTTTTCAAAAATAAATCCTTCCCCTAAAAGTTAGACGTTTGTAAAAGATACACAATAAGTGTTGTCACACTTCATAATAATGGTTTCATTAAAGGGGTCTTAAACTTTATATGATGACATTTGGCCGTTTACTCCCTTGCCCCCCAAAAAACACCATTGCGTATTTTAGTCATACCCGATTGATTGGTAGGTAACATCTGTACAAGTCTGGGAAATCCAACTTTCATTTCTGCATCAAAAGCTCATGTATAAAAAATGCATTTTCTAGCGTAATTGTTTTTAATTAAAGATAAATCATTGTCATTTTAGTTATAATATTGTGATTTGTGTTGAAATTTGTGTACATTTTTTTGGGACACATAATTGCCTGACAAACCTCAGTGGAGTTCCTTTAAAGGCTAAGCAATATTTGATTTATTTCAGACAAATATGTCAACACTAGAGCAAATAAACCAAGCTGTATCAAAAATACCTTTGAAGAAAATAGGTTCATGCATAGGAACACCAGAAAGGCTTGAAAATATACCATGGAAAAAAATTGGTATAGCAACAGCTGTGGCAGTACCATCTGTATATGTAGGAGCCCCTTTCTTTATATCTACCTTAGGATTTAAAGCAGGTGGAATTGCTGCTGGCTCTGTAGCAGCCAAGTGGATGTCCATGGTAGCTGTAGCAAATGGTGGAGGAATACCAGCCACTAGTATGTCTTTGTTGTATTCCAGAATTTTTCTTAGACATTTGACAATGCTCTGATTTAAACTTTAACCTGATGGATTTTTGCTCTCCATTTGGATCAGTCCATCTGATGTGTATCTAATAATTAAGGGATTATACAATATGTTAAAAAAATAAATAAGTTTAGGAGCGTTACCCCTGCCCAGCAGTGGCTCTTGTTACTTAATATGTATCAAATTGATCTATTTAAACTGGATTGGTCTACAATGGACAAATTTTTAATAATTTTTTCAAGTTATCTATTAGAACAATAGAATTTGCATATTCTTATAAAATATTTCTAAGTAAAAATGTTGATAGCCTAAGGTGATTTAGTAACAAAATTTAAACAGCATCCTTAATTATATATAATTATTTTTAGCTCGACTTTTCTATGAAAAGGGGAGCTATCCTACTCGCCCCGGCGTCGGCGTCGGCGTTGGCGTCACACCTTGGTTAAGTTTTTCGTACCACCCCACTTTATTTCAGAAGTATTACAAGTATGGCTTTGAAACTTACCATACTTGTTCACCATCATAACCTCCATCTACAGACAAGAGTACATAACTCTGTCAAGGTTTTTGACAGAATTATGGCCCTTTTTTGACTTAGAAAGTGTATTGAGCTTGGTTAAGTTTTTTGTACCACCTCACTTTATTTCAAAACCATTGGAGGTATTGCTTTGAAACTGACCATACTTGTTTACCATCACGACCTTCATCAACAGACAAGAGGACATAACTCTGTCAAGGTTTTTGACAGAATTATGCCCCTTTTTGACTTAGAAAATACATTTAGCATGACATTAAATAATGAATTGAACTTCCTTCATGTAATTCAAATATCAGTTTACAACGCATTATCTACATAGTGGACCCACGAAAAGTAACCAGTCACCCACAGCCTGTGTGAAAGAGATCCACTTGTGACCAACTGACAACATCTAAAAAAGCTTGATAAAATTTATCTATTACTTGTATTATAAGGTAACTATAATACTTTCACATACAAAGTCAAATCTATATATTATGCTGATTGTACAAAAATATACTGCTTCCTTGGCATAGATTTCTTGAAAAATTATGTTATTATGTCATTTACCAAGGTGTTCTGAGTGACGTAAAAATACCTTATTCTCTCAAAGTGGGTTTAATACTATTAAATTTATTTAAGGCTCAACTCAGTTTTTTTTTTCTTTCTTACCAGCCCTCTTTTGACTTAAACATTTCAAACTTTGCTGCAGTGTTCAAGGGTATCACACAATTCAGTAAAATAATTCTTCACTAAATATCTTAATGCTCATGGCCATTGTTCACTTTAAAAATACAGAGATTCTTGTATTGCCTTTTACTGCAAAAACTTTTTTTATTGGCAAGCAATAAAAAAGTCGAGCGCGCTGTCTTACGGACAGCTCTTGTTTGGTTTGTTGTTACATATGATACTATATACTATGGACATATTCAATTTTGGTGTACATACATGTATAACAGACCTTCCAGTATAAATAGACAGATTCCACGGTGCATATCCATATCGGTACCCTCTTTGCGAAATCGACTGAAACGGTACCCTCTTTGCACATGCACAGGCCACTCTCTGCTAAAAACAAACCAGCGATGGATAACAATACAGTAAAAATTCAATATAATAAGGAAAGAAGGTATGACACGTAGAAAAGATGTATACCACGGAACACTAGAATGTTTTATCTATGTGCTGATTTGTCATGTTCCCGTTTTTCATGTACTACAAATTCACAATAAGCTACAAAAAATCGACATGTCTTGCTTCACCCATCACCTCGACATATTTTTTGGGCTGAAATGAACCTGTGGCTTGATTATATATGCATCATACATATTTAGTATGTTCAGTTCATATGTTCAATATTGTAAAATTCATAAAAACACCCTACTTTCAGTTTTGCAGTGGCACGGGCTACCTCTCTTCATTTGAATTTTTATATCACAGGTACCCTCTCATTTTTAGCTCGACTATACGAAGTATATGGAGAGCTGTCCTACTCGCCCCGGCATCCGCGTCCGCGTCCAGATTTTAGATTAAAGTTTTGGTGCAGTAAAATATTTTTCACTATAACTTTGTCATTTCTTAAGGTATCAACTTCAAACTTCAAATATATCTTCCTTATCATCAACCACATCATATGTGACAAGGTTCATAACTCTAGCACCAATATTTTCAGATTTATCTCCCCTTGAACTTAGAATTTTCCTTAAAAAATACTATTTTTTACTGTTACTTCCTTATTTCTTAAGGGATCAACCTCATACTTCAAATATATGTACCTTATCATCATCCCCATCTTATGTGACAAGGTTCATAACTCTAGCACCAATAGTTTCAGATTTATCTCCCCTTGAACTTAGAATTTTCCTCAAAAAGTACTATTTCTTACTGTTTCTTCTTTATTTCTTAAGGGATCAACCTCATACTTCAAATGTATTTACGTTATCATCATCCCCATCTTATGTGACAAGGTTCATAACTCTAGCACCAATATTTTCAGATTTATCTCCCTTTGAACTTAGAATTTTCCATAAAAAATATTTTGTTTACTGTTATTTATTATACCCCCGAAAACGAAGTTTGGGGGGGTATATAGGAGTCACCCGGTGGTCGGTCGGTTGGTCGGTCGGTCGGTCGGTCGGTCCAGACGTCCGTTGCATTTTCCTTGTCCGGAGCATAACTTGAAAACTAATGGTTGGAATTCAATATAACTACATACAATGGTCAAGCACATTGAGAGGAAGTGCAGTGCACAAGAACCATAACTCTATCTTGACTAATTACAGAGTTATTGCCCTTTGTTACTTTTCCTTGTCCTGGGCATAACTTGAAAACTACTGGTTGGAATTCAAAACAACTTCATACAATTGTCAAACACAATAAGGGGAAGTGCAGTGCACAAGAACCATAACTCTATCTAAAGTAATTACAGAGTTATTGCCCTTTGTTGCTTTTCCATTGCTTTTTTTTTTTGTCTGTTGCATTTTCCTTGTCCGGAGCATAACTTGAAGACTAATGGTTGGAATTCAATATAACTACATACAATGGTCAAGCACATTGAGAGGAAGTGCAGTGCGTAAGAAACATAACTCTATCTTGACTAATTACAGAGTTATTGCCCTTTGTTACTTTTCCTTGTCCGTGGCATAACTTGAAGACTTATTGTTGGAATTCAAAACAACTTCATACAATTGTCAAACACAATAAGGGGAAGTGCAGTGCACAAGAACCATAACTCTATCTAAAGTAATTACAGAGTTATTGCCCTTTGTTGCTTTTCAATTGCCTTCTTTTTTTTGTCCGGAGCATAACTTGAAGACTAATGGTTGGAATTCAATATAACTACATACAATGGTCAAGCACATTGAGAGGAAGTGCAGTGCATAAGAACCATAACTCTATCTATAGTAATTACAGAGTTATTGCCCTTTATTACTTTTCCATTGCTTTCTTTTGTCCGGACCATAACTTGAAGACTAATTGTTGGAATTCATTATAACTTCATACAATGGTCCAGCACATTGAGAGGAAGTGCAGTGCACAAGAATCATAACTCCATTTTGACTTATTACAGAGTTACTGCCCTTTGTTACTTTTCCTTGTCCAGAGCATGACTTGAAAACTACTGGTTGGAATTCAAAACAACTTCATACAATGGTCAAGCACAATAAGGGGAAGTGCAGTGCACAAGAACCATAACTCCATCTTGACTAATTACAGAGTTATTGCCCTTTGTTACTTTTCCATTGCTTTCTTTTGCCTGGACCATAACTTGAAGACTTATTGTTGGAATTCATTATAACTTCATACAATGGTCAAGCACATTGAGAGGAAGTGCAGTGCATAAGAACCATAACTCCATCTTGACTAATTACAGAGTTACTGCCCTTTGTTACTTTTCCTTGTCCAGAGCATGACTTGAAAACTACTGGTTGGAATTCAAAAACAACTTCATACAATGGTCAAGCACAATAAGGGGAAGTGCAGTGCACAAGAACCATAACTCCATCTTGACTAATTACAGAGTTATTGCCCTTTGTTACTTTTCCTTGTCCAGAGCATAACTTGAAAAACTACTGTTTGGAATTCAGTACAACTCCATACAGTTGTCAAGGACATTCAAAGGAAGTGCAGTGCACAAGAGCCATAACTCCATTTTGACAAAATACAGAGTTACTGCCCTTTGATACTTTTCCTTGTCCGGAGCATAACTTAAAACATACTGGTTGGAATTCAAAACAACTTCATCCAATGGTCAAGAACAATTAGAGGAAGTGCAGTGCACAAGAACTATAACTCTCTCTTCAGTATTTATAGAGTTATTGCCCTTTGTTCTTTTTCTTTGTCTTTCTGGACTTATTACAGAGTAATTCAATTAAACTTCATCAATGGCCAACCACATTGAAAGGAAATGCAACATACATGAACCACAATTATCTTTAATTGCCCACAACCATAACTCTATGTTTCAATTCTTTTACAAGGTATTCTGTTACTAGTAACATCCTCATTTCCGAAGCAGACTTGTGGGGGTATTAATCACATTTAGTGATAGTTCTAGTTTATTTCTAAAGGGATCAACTTCATACTTCAAATATGTTTACGTTATCATCATCCACATCTTATGTGACAAGGTTCATAACTCTAGCACCAATATTACAAGAATTATCTCCCCATAAACTTAGATTTTTTTACTAGAAAAATGTTATTTTTTATTATAACTTTTTTATTTTTAAAGGTATCTACCTCAAATTCCAAATACTTATTCCTTATCAACAATTACATTTTATGTGACATTGTTCATAACTCTTGATGCAACATTTACAGATTTATCTCTCTTTGAACTTAGGATTTTCTTTAAGAAATATAATAGCTTCTTTTCTTTTTAAGGTATCTGCTTCAAACTTCAAATATATGTTTCTTATCATTACACAAATGTTGTGTGACAAGGTCCATAACTCTAGCATGACTATTTCTAGCATTATTCCCCTTGATCTTGGAATTTATGTTAACAAATATTATTTTTTTACTATAACTTAATACATAATTATACATAATTTTTTCATAGTTTTGTCCTCCTTACTGCGTCCAGTATTTCATTAGTCGAGCTTCGCTGTCTCCTGTGACAGCTCTTGTTTTACACAGGTACCCTCAAGGCACGACATATGCTTTTATTTGCGTTAATCGTTAGGTATGTAATATTTCTTTATTTATGTAAATATTACATACTTAACGATTAACGCAAATAAAAGCATATGTCGTGCATTGAGTATATATACCTATGTGTTAAAAAATGAGAGGGTACCTGTGATATAAAAATTCAAATGAAGAGAGGTAGCCCGTGCCGCTGCAAAACTGAAAGTAGGGTGTTTTTATGAATTTTACCATTATTTTTGACAATGTACTGCCATTTGTCCGAAGATGATATGTAAATGAACATATTAGATATGTATGATGCATATATAATCAAGCCACAGGTTCATTTCAGCCCGAAAAGTATGTCGAGGTGATGGGCGAGGTAAGACATGTTGATTTTTTGTAGCTTATTGTGAAGTTGCAGTACATGAAAAACGGGCACATGACAAATCAGCACATAAATAAAACATTCTAAGTGTTCCGTGGTATACATCTTTTCCACGTGTCATACCTCCTTTCCTTATTACAATGAATTTTTACTGGCTTGTTATCCATCGCTGGTTTGTTTTGAGCAGAGAATGGCCTGTGCATGTACAAAGAGGGTACCGTTTCAGCAGATTTCGCAAAGAGGGTACCGATATGGATATGCACCGTGGATTCACTTTAATAATTTTTGTTTAATACATGTACTTAAAATGATTTATTTTATAACTTTTGATATTGTTTAAAAACTGAATTGATTTATTTTATAATGTTTTTTTTTTATAATTTAAGGTATTGTTGCAGCAATGCAAATCAGCTGGTGTTTTAGGAATTTTCTGCTAAGACAGGCATTATTTATAGGGAGTGCTGTCAGTGGGGCAGTATGTCTAGCACCATCTACAAACAATATCCATGTTGCAGAAGATACAAGTAGCAAAAACTGTTATAGAGGATTCAGATAATAAATCAGTTGTAAATGGAGGTAAGAACATTGTGAAATATGCATATTTCTTTCTGCGTCATATAACCTGAACTGTGTTTGTGTGCCATAAAACCAAACAAAAAATTTGGTTTTTTTACTAGAAAAATGTTATTTTTTACTATAACTTTTTTTGTTTTAAAGGTATCTACATCAAACTTCAAATACTTATTCCTTATCATTAATTACATTTTATGTGACAATGTTCATAACTCTTGAAGCAATATTTACAGATTTATCTCTCTTTGAACTTAGGATTTTCTTTAAGAAATATTATAACTTCTTTACTTTTTAAGGTATCTACTTCAAACTTCAAATATAATTTTTTTATCATTACACACATGTTATGTGACAAGGTTCATAACACTAGCATGACTATTTCTAGAATTATTCCCCTTGATCTTGGAATTTATGTTAACAAATGTTATTTTTTACTGTAACTTAATACATAATTATACATAATTGATTTTTCTTTCATAGTTTTTTAGCTCACCTTGCACAAAGTGCATGTGAGCTTTTAGGATGGCCAACCAAATGGCGTCCGTCGTCCGTCGTAAATATTCTAAGGACATCTTCTATGATACCGCAAGGCCAATGTTAATGAAACTTGGCAGGAATACTCTTTGTATGAAGCTCTATCAAGATTGTTCAAAGAATTCCATTTCATGCAGAACTCTGGTTGCCATGGCAACCGAAAGAAAAATCTTTAAATATCTTCTTTTAAAGAACCGTAAGAGCTAGAGCTTAGATATTTGGCATGAAACATCTTCTACTGAGTGTCTACCAAGTTTGTTCAAATAAAAGCCCTAGGGTCAAAATTGGCCCGCCCCAGGGGGTCATTGATTTTCCCTATATGCATAAAGTAAAAACTTAAAAAATCTTCTTTTAAAGAACCCAAAGAGCTAGAGCTAAGATATTTGGCATGAAACATCTTCTAGTCAGTGTCTACCAAGTTTGTTCAAATAAAAGCCCTGGGGTCAAAATTGGCCCCGGCCCGGGGGGGGGGGGTCATTGATTTTCCTATATGCATATAGTAAAACCTTAAAAATCTTCTTTTAAAGAACTGTAAAAGCTAGAGCTTAGATATTTGGCATGAAACATCTTCTAATGAATCTCTACCAAGTTTGTTCAAATAAAAGCCCTGGGGTCAAAATTGGCCCCGCCCCAGGGGGTCATTGATTTTCCCTATATGCATAAAGTAAAAACTTAAAAAATCTTCTTTTAAAGAACCCAAAGAGCTAGAGCTAAGATATTTAGCATGAAACATCTTCTAATGAGTGTCTACCAAGTTTGTTCAAATAAAAGCCCTGAGGTCAAAATTGGCCCTGCCCCAGGGGGTCATAGATTTTCCCTATATGCATATAGTAAAAACTTAAAAATCTTCTTTTAAAGAACCCAAAGAGCTAGAGCTAAGATATTTGACATGAAATATCTTCTAGTGAGTGTCTACCAAGTTTGTTCAAATAAAAGCCCTGGGGTCAAAATTGGCCCCGCCCCAGGGGATCATTGATTTTCCCTATATGCATATAGTAAAAACTTAAAAAATCTTCTTTTAAAGAAACGTAAGAGCTAGAGCTTAGATATTTGGCATGAAACATCTTCTAGTGAATGTCTACCAAGTTTGTTCAAATAAAAGCCCTGGGGTCAAAATTGGCCCCGTCCCAGGGGGTCATAGATTTTCCCTATATGCATATAGTAAAAACTTAAAAAATCTTCTTTTAAAGAATCCAAAGAGCTAGAGCTAAGATATTTAGCATGAAACATCTTCTAATGAGTGTCTACCAAGTTTGTTCAAATAAAAGCCCTGGGGTCAAAATTTGCCCCGCCCCAGGGGGTCATTGATTTTCCCTATATGCATATAGTAAAAACTTAAAAAATCTTCTTTTAAAGAACTCAAAGAGCTAGAGCTAAGATATTTAGCATGAAACATGTTCTAATGGGTATCTACCAAGTATGTTCAAATAAAAGCCCTGGGGTCAAAACTGGCCCCGCCCAGGGGGTCTTTGATTTTCCTTATATGTGTATAGCAAAAACTTAAAAATCTTCTTTGAAAAAACCCAAATAGCTTGAGTTTAGATATTATACATGAAACATCTTTAAGTAAATATCTACAAAGTCTGTTCAAATAAAAGCCCGGGGGTCAAAACTGGCCCTGCCCCAGGGGTGTCATTGTTTTTAACTATATGTGTATAGTAAAAACTTAAAAAATCTTCTTTTAAAAAACCCAATGAGCTTAGAACTTAGATGTTTAGCATGAAAAACATCTTCTTATGGGTGTCTACCAAGTCTGTTCAAATAAAAGCCCTTGGGGTAAAAAAATTGGCCCGGGGGGGGGGGGGGGGGGCTATATACAGGTGAATGACCTCAGGGCCATCATGGCCCTCTTGTTCCTCCTTACTGCATCCAGTATTTTATTAGTCGAGCTTCGCTGTCTCCTATGACAGCTCTTGTTTTTTAGCTCACCTGAGCATATGCTCAGGGTGAGCTATTAGGATCACTCTTCGTCCGTCGTACGTCGTCCGTCGTACGTTGTCCGTTCACACTTTTCAAACGACATCTCCTCTGAAACCATAAGGCAGATCATAATGAAACTTTCACAGGGATGTTCCTTGTGTGAAGCCTTAACAAAGTTGTTCAAAGAATTCAATTCCATGCAGAATTCTGGTTGCCATGGCAACCAAAAGAAAAAAAACTTTAAACATCTTCTTCTAGAAAACCCAAAGAGCTAGAGCTTAGATATTTGGGCATGAAACATCTTCTACTGAGTGTCTACCAAGATTGTTCAAATAAAATCCTGGGGTCAAAATTGGGCCCGCCCAGGGGGTCATTGATTTTCCCTATATGCATATAGTAAAAACTAAAAAAAACTTCTTTTAAAGAACCCAAAAGAGCTAGACTAAGATTAAGATA